GAATGTATGCATAAATTAAAAGTGCTCCGTGCTGATTCCTCAACTCTATGCTCATATCGAGCTGGCTACAAACAAAGCCAGTAAATCTGTGCACATTCTCTTGATAGCAGAATGTGCTCATTAGTAAAGTGACATCAGTTTGTGCTACTGATATAGGTGCATTTCATAGTATATGCTTACGAGATATAATAAAAGGAGGTGAAAGTTAGTTTACCTCATATAAAAAGTGCAAGTGCTCAAATATATAAAGGCTAACATTAATGATATAATAAAGTGACGTGCTTATATTTACATACTATCTAATAATTAAATAAGTGAAAACACTATGCTACTATGGGGTTACAGTGTAATATGATACATAATTACTACCTAAGTAACAAATATAATAACAAATATTCTGCTGTGTAACAGTATCATTCCCAAATTTAGGAATTTTGAGACAAAGTATTACTGATAAATGATTATGTCCCTATTGAACCACTAGTAAATACTAGGGAGTGGAGAGACCAGCCCTCTCTAAAGTAGATCTAGGTATCAAATATAGTACAAATACCTGTAATTTAATCTATACCAAGTAAATTGGGAATATCTACTGTGCACATATTTGCAGATAAAGAATAAAATCAATGGAATAACTAATTCAACCACTTAAATAAACGATATAAATGTCAATTTTTCGTTAAGGCCCATGGGAGCCATAGTATTCAATTCACGTATCCAAAATGTCTCTCTTTGCAATAGTGCCTTGGAGCGATCTCCTCCTCTTCTAGAAATTGGAATATGGTCAATGGCTATACATTTCAGTGATGTCAGTGGATGTTTATGTTCAAGAAAATGACGAGCCACCGGTTTGTCCGTGGTACCATCTCTAATCGCCATACGTATACTCGAGCGATGTCCCCTTATTCTTTCGCACAATTGTGTATCCGTTTTCCCAACGTAGTTTAATCCGCATGGACATGACAGTTTGTAAATGACATGGTCTGTTTTACAAGAAATGCGTTGTTTGATTACATATTTCTTTTGGGTGTGTGGATGAAAAAAAGACTTCGTGGGAATAAGATGCCCACATGTCACACATCCTAAACAACGAAAACAGCCTGGGTTGAGGAACTTATTCTGATTCCGCAGATAACTCTGTTCCGGATCAGTGCGGACTAACAAGTCTCGCAAGTTTTTCTCCCTCTTATAACATATCATAGGACTTTGAGAAAATATTGTAGGCAGAGTTGGATCTCCCATTAGGATATTCCAATTTCCCTTAACAGCTTGGACAAGTTTCGTACTAGCAGAATTAAATTTCATTGGGAAAGTCAATCTTGTTGCCCTTGTTTGTTGCTGGATGCTCACTGTATTCGCCATTTCCAACATTGCTTTATCTAAGGCTTCATCGAGTATGTACCGATTGTACCCCCTCGTGAGGAATTTGTTATACATGCTACCCACTTGATTTTCAACCCGTTCAGTCGATGAATTATTCCGAAACACTCTTAAAAATTGGGTGTATGGTAAAGATTTCTTACTATGTTCAGGATGTGCACTCTCAAAATGCAGTATGGTGTTTCTATCCGTGGGCTTTGAGTAAAGCTGATACTCTATTTTGTTGTCTTGAATGAAGATCTCCAAATCCAAATACTGTACAATTGTATTACTGATATTAGCCGTGATTTTCACAGGACTGGGGAGACAGTTAATATTCTCCACAAATTGCTCAGCCTCAGCTATTGAGCCTCTCCATAGAATCAAAATATCATCGATAAAGCGTACGTATTGTATAATTTGTTCTCTATATGGATGCAGGATGTGTTCTCTCTCAAATATATGCATGTATGCATTCGCATACATCGGCGCCATCGCCGCGCCCATCGATGTTCCTGAGCATTGCATATACCATCGGGTTTCGAATCTGAAGTAATTGAGTTGAAGTGTTAGCATAAGCAATTCCATAATAAATTCTATGGGAGGACCCTTATAGAAAGATGACTCCGATAGTATCTGTCTCATTGCTTCTATGCCTTCCTCGTGGGGGATTATAGTATAGAGACTCTGTACATCTAATGTAATTAATACCAATTCAGTGGGAACTTGTTCAATTTTCTTCAATCTATCAATCAAATTCTGTGTATCCTTAATACATGTTGGTAAACGCTCAACCGGATCTTTAAATAAAAAATCCAAATATTTAGCAATAGGCTCTAGCACCCCGTCAATAGCAGAGACTATAGGGCGTCCAGGTGGTGACTGCAAGTTCTTATGTATTTTAGGCAATGTGTATATATATGTATATATATGTGTATATATGTGTGTATATATGTGTGTATATATATATATATATATGTGTGTATATATGTGTGTGTGTGTGTGTGTATATATATGTATATATATATGTGTGTGTGTGTGTGTGTATATCTATATCTATATATATATATCTATATATATATATATATATATATAGATATATATATATACACACACTGCTGTGTGTACTGCTAGTGTGCTGTGTGAGGGTGCTGTGTGCTGTTAGTGTGATGTGTGTGTGTGAGGGTGCTGTTAGTGTGATGTGAGGGTGTTTGTGACTGTGCTGTTTGTGTGTAAGGGTGTTTGTGTGTGTGTGTTTGTCCTGTGAGGGTGCTGTTTGTGTGAGTGTTGTATATTTGTGAGGGTGCTGTTTGTGTGTGTGTGTTTGTGAGGGTGCGGTTAGTGTACTGTGTGTGTGAGCTGTATGTGTGTATGTGCTGTATGTTTGGAGGGATTGTGGAGGTGGGGGCAGATTAGTAAATCCTTGCTGCCATGTGCCATCCCTGGTGGTCCAGTGGAGAGTGAACTCTAGCCTGCGGGGCTAGAGTTAGCTCTCGCGAGATCTGTCTAGAGCTCCCTGGGTCCTCTCCTGCCTCCCTCCATGCTGCTGTGGGCCGGTGAGGTAGATCTTTGGTCTCCCTGCCGGCCCATGGAGGCTTAGAGCAGAGCCGGCACTCAGATAGCGCCGGCTCTGCGTGAGCCGACAGGGGAGATCGGGATTCCCACCCCCCCCAAAAAAATATACGTGTGTGTGTGTGTGTGTGTGTGTGTGTGTGTATGTGTGTGTGTGTGTATATGTGTATATATATATATATATATATATATATATATATATGCGGCGTACACACAGACACGCACTCACACACAGACACACACTCACACACTATTATATTTTAATAATACAATGTCCACCCAGCCTCCCTACCTGGAGTGCTGGCGTGGACTTTTCCCTGGGGTCCAGTGGGGCGGGCACCTCTCTGCATCTCAGCCGCGGCGAGGGAGCTGTCTGCTCTCTGCTCCCTCTCACCGTGTGAGCTGTCTGCTGTAGCTGGGAGCCGGAATATGACGTCATATTCCGGCTCCCGGCATCAGTGCGCGGCGAGAGGGAGCAGAGAGCAGACAGCTTCCTCTCCGCGGCTGAGATGCAGAGGAGGGGGGATCCATCACCTCTTGCCCTCCCCATGACAGGGGCAAGGGGTGAGACAGGGGTCGCTGAGTGCCTGCAGGAACAGCGTTCCTGCCAAAAAAAAAAAGTGCAGGAACGCTGTTCCTGCAGGACTCAAACCATAGGCGTGCCACGGGGATTAGGGTGTGCCCAGGCACACCTCGTGCGCACGCCTATGGTGCTAACAAATTCCGTAGCGCTGTACAATAGATGGACGAACAGACATGTAGTTGCAACCAGACAAGTTGGACACACAGGAACAGAGGGGTTGAGGACCCTGCTCAATGAGTTTACATTCTAGAGGAAGTGGGGTAAAGTGAGTTAGAATAATAATTGAGTGAGGTTAACTTCGATCCTAACCCTCATTTCCTTTCGGATTTTATCCATTTTAAATCTGCTTAACCCCTTAAGGACACATGCCATGTGTGACATGTCATGATTCCCTTTTATTCCAGCAGTTTGGTCCTTAAGGGGTTGAGGGTTATCCTCCCCCAATCACAGTGTGAGTGACCATCACTGAGGAGTCCATTGGACCTAGCCCTTAGCATAGCCTGTAGTCACAGCCATGAGCTGCTTTATGCACAGGTCCCTATTATTACAGGTATCCCTGTTAATCTAGGGCAGCTTATACTGTTGGACAGAAATGTGTATTTTTAAAATAATTTTTTTTGTATTGTTTTTGGTTTGCGACTTCCGGTTGGTGCAACCCTGTGAAGATTCCCCCACGGGTGGATTCCACACTTCCGCTTCCGGGCGGCGTCACACGGGCACGCTCCCGCCTGCCCCCCTCCCAGAGGAGGGGAAGGAGGAGGAGGAGAGGAGGATGGTATTAAAGGGAGGACAGTTCCGGGGCTGTTAGTGGCAGCGGACATGGCTGAGAAGAGCAGCGAGCTGAACGGCCCCGCGGGCTCGGTGTGCAGGCGGTGCGCGGCCTCGGGGGACAAAGGGGTGGGCTCCAAGTGGGTCCGGCTCAATGTGGGGGGGACCTGCTTCCTGACCACCAGGCAAACTCTGTGCAGGGACCCCAAATCCTTCCTGTATCGGCTGTGCCAGGCAGACCCAGACCTGGACTCAGACAAGGTATATGGACAGGGGATGGGGGGGCTGCACCTTTATATCAGGGGTGGGGGTATCCTACTGAATTAATACCCACCCAGGGCTGTTCTCATCTATGGTATTAAAGCCTATGAGCTATTCTAATCGCCAGGCTGGGGGGCTACACCTTTAAATAAAGGGGTCTCCTTCTGAATTAATGTTCACCCAGGTCTATCCTCATTTATGGTGTTGAAGCTCCATGGGCTATTATATTCCCTAGGTTGGATAAGTGAGATGGGAGTTGACAGCTGTAATTCTTTCTGGTGGGGAGAGAGAGAGAGAGAGTGTGTGTGTGTGTGTGTGTGTGTATATATATATATATATATATATATATATATATATATATATTTTCTACCTCTCTGTATGTGTGTATATTTAAAAAAATAAATAAAATCAAAATGTGCTGAGGTGAAGATTAGGTAGGACTTCTCTTGCTCTCCTAGGTTATTTTATATATTTCCTACTTCTCTACCCAAGTTGACATAGGTTGGTACAGCTAGTAAGACTTGGTGGGGAAGTTGGCTACTTTGGCAGATTTTGATCCGTTATTGCTGCATGGTCCCGGAAGGGGTCCTAAGATCCCTAGACAAAATTATTCATGATGAGAAGCACAAAAGGTGGTAGGAGTCAAATTAGACTGTCTACGAATAACAGGAAATATTCAAATTGGTAGATGTACCAAGGTGTGACCCTCACTTTATTTTATACAGAGCTGTAAATGCTTAGTGTGTGATATGAACGATAAATAATGTAGGGAAAATCTGCTTTGGGACCAGAGATTCCAGTACTCCATTTCCAGAGCTTTAAACAGTGTGGTGGAAATTGATAGCTGAGGGCTAATGGCTACCTGTCCCTGGAGGGGTTCTGTGAATAATGGAAAGTAGATGTATGGTAGAGTAGACATCTGACTAATGGGCTGAAACTAGTTACTTTCGAGGGATTGGTTGATCTTAAGAATCTAAGATAATCGGAAGACAAGGATGTAAATGGAGTGCAATGTTACTTCTCGGTAGAGGATATCAAAATGGTTTTGACATTAAGGAGGTTTGGGGATGGAGTTGGTAACAGAGCTATTAGAGGCTCAGACGGCTGACCAATGTCTGTAAATTGAAGCACGCGGAGTGTAATTGATTTAAAGTACAAATTAGATGAGTCCACAGGTGTATGATCTAAAGATTTAACATTATTTTATATTTAATCAATTTATTAAATATTCCCAATAGGCTTTTTGTGTACATACATTGTTGGTAACTGCTATGCTCTTAAATGTTTGTTGAAAAATTCATTTTCTAAGATGGTGAGTAAACTGGTACCTGGAAGAATTAGTGGGCAGGGATAAGAACAGGCCTGTGTGACAGATTATGCAGGATTACGTAGGTGGTGATTATGTACAATCACCACTTACACTAACTGCTGATGTGTGCGTGTTAGAAGATTTAACTAGGGTAGGTCAGCATTTTCCAGAGTTCTCTATTAGTTTTATGAAACTAAGATAGATGGATCAATAGTTTGTTTTTGATTTACTTTATTTTTTTAGCTTTCTATTGCTGGCCATAAATAGAAATCTTTGTATGTATGTTGTATTTTTATTTAATATTAAGCCATTGGGACATTTCATTTTGATTAAAGATCTTTTAAAAGCGTGTTTCTGACTCAAAGAAATGTGGAATCTTTGTATTCTATGTCTTAATTTGATGTTTTGTACTGTAACCTTTTAGTTTATCAGCTGCGCATTTCGCACTTTTGCACCAATATTTTGTGGATTTTGAGAATTGGTAATGGTAAAATAGCGCTAGCTGCTATGCATTGTTAGACATTGTTCCTAGCGTGCCCTTGCTTGGTTTATGTTTTTGAGCAGTAAGTAGCAAAGTGTGGGGTAGTGAGAATGAACATGTGTATTTAATTTGGAAGCACACTTGCTGGGCTCAAGAAAAAGGCACTTGTGCATATTACTGTTTTTAATACTGAGAACATTGAGTGAAGGGAATCCATAATTTTTCCAAGGATTCTGTCATTTTGTGACATGTCAGCAATAGAATTTTTAGTTACTTTTGATGCATATTCGATGACTTATGCTAAATAGTGCGTGTCATGCAGAAAACATAGGTAAACTTTACTCAATTCTTGTGACTGACTCTAAATTTGGTCGTTGGATAGATGCAGGCTGATGAAGAAAGATTGAGAATTTAGTCTGCAGGCTTGCAATCTAGAAAGTGTTCACCTGACTGATGGTTCCAGCCTGTCTCCAAAAAATATAATGTAAATGGATCTTGCTCTGTTCGGTGTCACTTAGTATCCCTGATGTGTTCAAGAATGCTTTTCAAATGGATTTATTTTTTAAGTAAATTACTACCAGTGAAATGTCAGGTTTTTCTCCCTCGCTAGGGGGAAATCACAATCAGTTGCTAACTTTTTAGTTTACGGTTTTGATTGGGCTAAATCAAGAAATAGACAGTTCCTTTTAGGTACAGATCAAATGTGTCGGTGGTGATGCAAAGACTAACTGAAGGTCCATGCATCAACCCGTTTCCTTTGTGATGGTGGCCAATAGATTTTATTTTTCGCTTTGAAAACTCGTCTTTGATGTAGGGAAATGATTTGCAGATTAACTCAGGACCTGATAATTTGATCCTCGCATAAAATGCATCACGCACATTCTTGTGTGGATGTATGTCTGAATATGTTGATTTTTCAATCCTATAGTATCCAAGCCACACAGAAGTGGTTTTTGAAATTTTTTTTTTTTTTTTAGCTCTTAGCTGCATTAGCGCAAATGAATTAGTGGGCATTATTAAGCAGTCTTTGATTGTATGGTGATCCCTAAAACCTGTGCTGACATGTGCCATTGAGACTAAGTTCGGAAGCAGGGAGGTAGCATGCAGGGGCAGAGGGACACTATAGTGTTAGGCATGCATGTTAGTATTTCTAACACTAAAGTGTTTCTTTAGTATTTTGAAATTTGATCTATATGGGGGGGGGGGGAGTGTTATCAAGTTTCTCTGGAAATATTAAATCCTTAGAAAAGTTTGGACAAAAGGTTGATTTGCTAAAGCGCACAACCTTGTTAATGTGGATGATTGTATATATTGCATTCTTTAGTCTTCTAAGCCTTTTTTGAGCTGTGGTGTATGAGATGGTGGGGGTAGACTTCTGATAACAGTAAAGCTAATTTTAAATTTGTCCTCTTGTATGTGAGTAGGGGATTCATGGCTATTCTATTTTCAACACCATTGCTTCCAATTTCCAGGTTTCTGACTGTTTTGACAGTTGCCAGTAGAGTAGTAGGGATGTAACAAATGTTTCCTGGCCGAAGACAGTGAATGTAACATCCTCACAGGCTTGCATGTATTTCTATAGTCCCTGCAGGTGGGGAACTGTGTATATCAGAGCTCAAGATTTTTCACTAGCCATTGGTGAGTGTACCTTTTTTATTGTTTTTATTTTTTTAAAGCATGTCTAGTATTGTAGGACTTTAAATTTTCTGAACACAATTGTAGATAATGTGCCTGATGTGAAAAAAGCAAACGTACACATACATCAATTTTCCAAGTTTTACATTTAGAATGGATAGATTCTACATTTGGCCTGCAACTTGACAAAAAAAAATCTAAATATGGGGAGGAGGTGTCATTGGCCGTCTGGGGGAGAGAGGTAAAAGGTAAAGCTGAACAAACTATGTTCTATTGAATGTTTCTTAATATCTTGGACATTACTGGCATTTAGACATTGCATCAACATTTGTCTTGGGCTGTTTGGCCCACAGTACCTGAAACCTTTGTGGTGGTATTTCATGTTGTGCATGAACAGTCGTGCCCTAAGCGACCTTTTCATATTTCAGTGAGCACTTCTAACGATACGGTGCAGTGTGCGCCTAATGGGTCAATCTAACAGTGGGATCTAAACCATTGTTTTCTGTTTCGACACGTGGCAGGTCTGATGCTCCAGATCTACTGACGTTATAATTTCGTGCACAGCTGTTAAAAGTTGATAATGGAGGCTTTTAATGTCTCTGCTCTCTCCAGTACATTGGAACAATCCCATATGTTTTAAAGGGTGGCTACACTATCAGGATGCTCGCAGCACCATCTACAACTAAAAGGAGCTTTGATCTTGGGTAAATGGAAACTGGCGTCTTATAGTTTGTATTTCGTTCTGCTGTGTTTACTCAGTGTAAATATGAAACTAGACCCGTTAGTAAATGTGGAGTTTCTGGTCTTTTTCCATACAAGTAAATGAGACCAGCGATGTAGTTATGTAGCCCAGCAACTGTCAAAATGTACGAGACAGACAAGTTGTGTAACTGTGGTGTTTTTCTTTCCTTTCTACTTCTTATTGGCTTGACATGTCTACGCACTATATAAACACTTAGACAATGTGAAAATTCTTTTTAAGCCGTGCTCTCAATGTTTATTCTTTTTAAAATGTCGTGTGTGTTTTTTTGTTTTTTTTTTGACATTTTTCTTTTAATGGCAAGACAATTAATGAAATTGAGTTTGCTAACCTTGTAAGTTTTTTTGCAGATAAATGGGTTTTCTTCCCCCTCCCTTAATTGCCGGTCAGATGAGGTGGAGAGGATGTGAAGTCTTCATGGTTGTGTTTTTTTTTGTTTTTTGTTTTTTTTGATAAACAGATTTAATTGCATTTTTGCTTCTCTTATAGTAAAAATAGGTAGATCTAACCAATTACATGCTGTATATTATAAGCATGAAACTGCTGCACTTGGTATTACTTGTGAAGACCAAGTCTGGAGAAAAGGTTTTAATGTTAAAACCATCACCATTTAAGTTAAAATAGTGTTTATAATTTATTTTTAGTTTTAGCACTTTGCTATCTGTAAACATCCTCAGTTAGTCACAGTGGCCACTATTATGTGTGTTTTTTTTTGTTTTGTTTTTTTTAAACTTTGTTCAATATTGACCCAATTCAAAGAGATGTTTACTGGGAAAACACTACTTTTAGATATGTAAATTTAAAGCCCTGTTTTGCATTTCCTTCACCAGCGACTTATTTGGAATGTGCTGCTTTGATTGAAACGTGTATTTATAGCACTATTTTGTATAAAGTCAAATTTGCCTTTTCTGCATGTTCTCGTCTGAACAGCCAAGTTTTTCTACATCCAAGTTTACCAATTCTAATATTGGGCATAATTTCACGCTGAAATGGTGGGGTGGGGTGGGTAAATAAACATGGCTTTATTTATAGTGAAAAGTAATGTAGGTTAAATGGTTTCCTTGGCAACCGATGGGGTATTTGTGGTTGATCACTTCAGATCACATTCTTGGGTGGATCTGCTTAAAGGTGGAAAGAGCCTACATCTTTGTAGACTGCCCCAAAAAGATAAAAATATATCTCACTGGCTTTATAGACCTTGTACAACTACATACAGTAGCAACAACTGAACTTGGTGGGTTTTTTTTTTTTTGTTTCCTTTCAACACCCAAAGGACAAACTGCAGTGGAGTGTTTCCTTTTAGCCACCACTCAAACCCCTATATGAAAATGAAGGCCCTAAACTCACCCACCTCTCTAACCCATTAAGGACTAAGCTTCTGGAATAAAAGGGAATCCTGTCATGTGTCCTTAAGGGGTTAAAATACAAAACAGTGTTTGCTTTGTTTTGGTTTGCAAAGCACCAACTGATGAGACAATGAGAAAAAGTCTCTCTTGAAAATCTGACAGGCACACTAAAAGCAGGAAAATTTCAAGTCTAACTTTTCCATTACAAATAAAGTATACAGATCCGTTTCCTAATGTTTGTGAAATACATCAATTTCCAGTACTGGTACAAAACAAATACCTAGTATAGTGATTTGGGTATCATGCAGTGTTGTCTCTCACGATGTGCCATGTATTGCTAGTTAACATGTTGACCATAATTCCATTATGCATCATTTTATTTTTAGCATGTGCAAAGTTCTGTCTGTAGAAGCTGTGCTTCAAACGAAGTTGATCGGTTTGCTTTAGCTTTTATTCAGCTAAATTCTTTAGCATTTGACTAAAATTCTTTGATGATTTGCTACATTGGCAATGGCCCAATGCTTACCAAAAAGATGCCTGATAGTTAATCAGCAACTGAGGCAAAACTCCTTGGTATAGTAAATGTGTAATTTTTTGGGTTAATAGCAGATGTATGAAAAGACCCCCTTGGTTTATATTTTGTTCTTGCTGTCTGGTATAGTAATACCCCACGTGTTTACCCTTGCCTAGTAAGGGGACAATGTATAGGAGATCCTGGGCACTAGTGAATCATACATAAATGGCAATATCACCATGATTGCAGTAATATTGGACATTTATTGCCATGACATGTCTCCAATCGGTCACAAACACATGTTTTATTGACAGCTTGTTATACACTTAATCAGTCCCCATTGATTACTCAAAGCGCCATATATCAAGGACCCGGTGTATGCTGTCCTTTCCCAACTATGTTGCTGTTGGAAGTGTAACTTCTTATGGCAGCCTTAATCAGCTACCCCAGCACAAACGTTCTGTCTAATGATAAATGGATACTCTCATCATGTAACCACTATAGTGAATATTGTGCATCAGTCACATAATTTGACATCCTACTTGGTGTCTGGACACTGAGCTCCTCCATTGAGACCTGGAAACACTCTGCGCTATCTTAACAGGGCTTTGGCTGAGAGCGACCAGTTTAGTTGGCTTTTTGAGCTGGTCCTGCTGAGCTTGGTATAGCACTTGTTAAATGGCTAGACTACTTGGGTTGGTGGGAAGACCAGGGCATTTCTGGCACCATGACAGTGTAGTTATGATACGTGGAGTGCTTCTTTTCTAATTCTGTGCACATGTGTTTATTCACTGCTTAAGAACACTCAATAAATGGAAACATCCACATCATGGGATGCCTTTTAGCCAGCGTGTGCCTGGTGGACCCAGTTGGCAGCATCTGTTGTAAAACCGTCACCCTCCCCTCCATAACACTACAATAACCCTGTAACGCAGGCAAAGGCTATTATAGGCCCAAGGAGAGACTAATTGGTTTTGTCTAATTTTTATTTTTTTCCCTCCACTTGAACACTTGCCAGTGGTCACTAGTGACTTTTTTTGTGAGGGAAAAGGGCATTCTCACTGTGGGTAAATATCTAAGTAAGCATCTGCTGTCTTGGGGGATCCTCCATAAAAGATTTGTGCTTAACCCTCACATGTGTGAGACTTTTTAGTACAGATGTGAGCTCCTGGCAGATGAAGCACCAGGAACTTAAGAAGATGGCAGTACCCACTTTGAACAGCATCATGCAGATCTTTACATGCACCGAACCACTGAGTCACTGCACACCAAGCGACTTTCACCATCAGGGTCTCAACAAAAGACCACAGAAGTTGAAAGAGCCTCTTTAAACGAAATTGTGCAGATGACCTTTACTAACTGTGTAGTATGAGAGTGGAAAACCTTAATCTGCACGTTGAAAGAGTGTTTGTGGAAATGGTGGGCTGTTAAACAACTACCTCTGTAGCATAAATCTGTCCTTGTAATTTCCAGATGTGGGTGGTATACCAAGGCTGAAACTGAACACACAATGGTATTTTTCCATTCTTTATTTATATCTTTCTGTGTACAGAATCACTGGCAGACCTGGTCACATAGAGTAATATATTGAATTTAGATTGCTTAGCTGTGCCTAGAATGGGAAAACCTAAATCGGGGGATTCCTAGCTAACCACAAAAAAACATTGTATGGAGGGTTTTGCTGTTCTCTTGGATGCCGTATGAAAACTTGGCATGTTCAAAAGTTAACATCCTTGCAAAAGCCAGAGGACGAGTATTCGCTTGGGCAGTTGTTTTATGCTTCCCATCAGATTCACTGAACTGCCTGGTCCTGCTGGGTGGAATGTTATGGAAACTACTACACATTCCTACTAAAAAAAAATTTTTCAAAATGGGACCACTATGAATGGTAGATGATGCAGGGGAGGGCGGTTGTGTGGTGGTTTAAAAATAAATAAATAAAATATCTCTATCTCCATAAGATCTATCGGACATGTACACACGCCATGTGAAATTCTAGGCTGTATGAAATTCCCTTCAGTGTGTGCTCTTGGTTAGTTTTGGGTTCCATGATGTATTAAATACTAATAAAAAATAAGTATATGCCCTACATTAAGAAATTAAATGTATCTTAAAAATCAAACATAGATGTGCGTCATGGCCAGATGACTAGTATTATTGATCCTAAAAAAAAAAATTCAGCAACTTGCCGCATGTGGGTGGAGTTTAAAATAAGACTCCGAGTACCACACTTTGATACAAGTTACTGTAGTTTGTGAACTGTAATGAAAACAGTCTGGCACTTTAAGTGCTGAATATACTAGGTTTACAGTAATCTTGTGCTCTGATAACATTTGAAGGCAGGATGTTCGATCTACATGGGGTTTCCTGGCCTGTAACATGATGGCCCGGGTCCCCAGCTGCTAGAGACTGGATGATATCACTCATGTTTATCAGGCTTCCAGTTGCATAACACTAATTATTCTCATTCAGTCACAAGTGTCAAACTTGCAAAGGGGAAAAACAATACACGTCTTGGGAATTCTTGATTTGTTTAGATGCCTTTTCTAGCAAGATGTCAGAAGCAACTAAATTAAAATAATTACTGTGAAGCATCTGTTCCCTGAACGTGTGAGGAAGCTAATGTTGCCTTCACTTTTTCAATAAGCACAAGCAAATTGATTTCAATAGATTTTCAACAATGTCTGATCACTTGCACACAAAACAAGAAATCCTCGTTGGAAACGCGTGGGTGTCTGTACTATGATTTGTAAAGTAGGATAATAAGAAATCTCTACTGTTGGCTGTATAATGGTTAACATTGCAGTTACACGGAATGTCTAGTAAAAAAATAAGTGGGGTGTTTTTTTTTTTTTTGTTTTTTTTTATTTTTTTTTTTAGATATACGGTGTTACCTAAACTATAGTGGCATACAAGTCGCTTGTGGTTCTTTTTTGGCGGACTCGCAGGTCCTTTCACATAAACAATAAGACAGGCATAGCTCTATAGATCCCAGTGTGTTTACCTTGTCTGGTTCTAGTGGTCTTAATGGGAGTCTTTGTTGGTGTCTTGTGTGTTAAGGGTAGGTGTCGTTTACTGTAGGGGGGGGGAGAGAGGTGGTGTGATCTCCCTTCTGAGGTCTGCCGACAGTGATAACTGTATTTAATGGTCTGTGCCTTGTGAACCCTTATCATTGTCTGCCTGCCTCTTGCATGTGGTAACCTTCTTTGCGGTCGCAGGGTTACCTATCAGGTGTCCCTTTCCCTCCTTTCTCCCTAGCTCGTGTTTTATGTTCCCTATTTTCTATGCTCGAGCCTGCCTATCTGTGGTGTCTCTCAAAGCCGCTATTATATACTACCATACGGAGTCCTGATTTCATGCCAGGGGAAGGGCACCCTTTAAGCACATATGTCTACATCTTGTGAGTGCATTTTTGTACATTGCACATTATTTGTTAAAATTGTTGTACACTATGTTTCTGTCTGTTCTTTTTAGATTCCACAGCCATATCCCATATGTGTTTTGCTTGTATTCTAGCTATAGTTGATTGTATTCCTCCAATTGATAACTGTCCAGGTGCCAGAAGGACTTCCTTTATTTGCACATTAAAATGGGGTTCTCACCATCCCAGGAATTTTAATGGTGGCTTATCTCTTTACCAGCAAATACATGTATTTGTGTTGTGAAAAGTTAAAACTTGGAATCTGTTTTTTTTTTTTTTATTTTATTTCCTCATCCAACAATTGGGCGCTTACATCTTGGCTGCCTGTCAATCATTGTTGTAAGCCATGTCCTTTGCACCTGGCAGTCTTTCTTTTATTTGCAATGCTTGCCCAAATCCAACCCTTCCCTCCCCCACCCCTTTTACTAAGCTGTTGTCTCCTGACTCCTTAATATAAATGTAAAGCTACTCTGTTTATAGTGTATTTTCAATGTGTTATACATTCCGGACAGGTGACCTTTAAACCTAAGTTTACCAGTCTTAACGTGCTCAAAGTTGTCCTGATATAGAGACAATAGAAAATATGTATCCTAGAGAATCTGACTAGTTTCCTAGCATCTTTTTGCTGATGGGCTTTGTGAATCTACATTTTATCCAATATAAAATGAGTCATTGAACTTCTTATAAGGCTGATGGGTTGGAGGGGTGACCATATTGCACAAACCGGTTCTCGCAGACCATTTGTTATTCCCCCACCTAGATCTTAGAGTTATGGTATGGTATAACTGATATCTCTTACTCTACTTTTTTTTTTTTATCCAGGGCTAGTGTCTTGAAAACCCATTAAAAATGCATGTAAGATGGAAGTATAACTTATTCTCACTTGTCATTCTCCCCCACCCCATATGGTCAGTATCCCACACCTGTCAAAGTAGAAATCTGTACTAGGGGCCTTTAAAGGGACACTAGTCACCCAGACCACTTCAGCTCAATGAAGTGGTCTGGGTGCCAGGTTCCTCAGGTTTTAACCCTTCAGATGCAAACATAGCAGTTTCAGAGAAACTGCTATGTTTACATTTGGGGTTAATCCAGCCTCTAGTTAATCTACAGCTTCCAGGACAAACCGGTCTCCTTTCATCCATAATGTATGTTACTTTATTAATGTTTGTACTGTTGCTGTGCTGCTCTATAGTGTATTAAAGAATGCTTGATTTGCCATTATATCTCTAGTCTAGCAAGCTGCTGCTTTTACCTACACCAAAGGACCACTTCATCCAGTAAAACTGGAATGGTCAATGACAGCCAGGTTGCTGGAACGCTTACAGGATTGAAAACCTAAAAAAGTTTCATAGTTTTTTTTGGTTAAAATAACTCTCAGCAGCGGAGACTTTCTAAAACAAGCTGAATTAGTGTGATGTGAAGTTTTTGATGGAGTTTGTTAAAGGAACGCCTTGCTCCGTTGCTTACCTGGAGCATTCCTTTTTAAAGAGTGAATTGTAGCTAGCATTCTAACTGTGTATTCTTCAGAAAGAAGGGACTCTTAAAGTCAATTAAAAATCATCCATGATATCTGCTTCAATAGATTTATTTTAATGGGACACTAGTCACCAAAACAACTTTAGCTTAACAAAGCTGTTTTGGTGTATAGATCATGACCATGCTGTCTCACTACTGAATTTTCTGCCATTTAGGAGTTAAATCACCTTTGTTTATGCAGACCTAGCCACACCTCCCCTGACTTTTTTACTGATACAGCCTGCAGGAAAACAAAATGGTTTCATTTTCAATCAGATGTAACTTACTTGAAAATGTTTTGTCTCCTGCTCTGTAAATTGAACTCTAATTGCACACCGGTGGCTCCTGCGGGGTCTAGCAAGCTATGAACAGAGTTGTGGGATGAGAATTTTTAAATTAAACAGACTGTCATAAAGGAAGTTTAAACATTAGATCTTACTTTACAGGAACTGTATAGGAAGGCTGTGTAAGGCACATGCATAAGCAAAGTGATTTAACTCCTAAATGGCAGATAATTAAGCAGTGAGACTGCTGGGGCATTATCTATACACCAAAACGGCTTCATTAAGCTAAAGTTGTCTTGGTACCTATAGTGTCACTTTAATTCTAAGAACACTGTTTAGGTTTCCTGTACAATGTTACTTATTGGTGAAAGATGTGGGCTCCATATAACATTAGGCTGTCGAACTTTAGTTGTTGACCAGTTAATCCATTAAAGAGTAGAAGTTGTATGCTGTCTGCAATATGGGGTGGGAGGGGATAAACAAGGGGTGGTTACAATGGTTTCCCATTGGATCTTTTTCAAAGTCTGTGTCTGAGTAGAGTTGAGTGGATACCTGTATGTTCGGGACCTGAACTTGACCCCAAATCCCATTGAAGTCAATGGGGACCTGAACTTTTGGGCACTAAAATGGCTCTAAAGTCCTGGAAAGGGCTAGAGGGCTGCAAAAGGAAGTAAAATGGGAGTAAGAGTAGGACAAGTGCCCTGCAAACAAATGTGGCTAGGGAAATAACTTAAAATAACATAAAATACATATAAATTAAAAATAATAATCTTGAACTAGGATGTGGAATAGGAGGTTGAGGAGGCAGGGACCGTGGCGGTGTGGGTGGAAGTGGAGGAGGTAGCCAAAGCGTTTTTTTTTTTTTTTTGTTTTTTTTGGTAGCCCCCAAAATATTGGGACATATAAAAAAACAAAGAATAAGTGCACTTGAGTATAACATTAGTAGGCATGGCTGTGATGGCTTCTAAGGGCACACGACACAAGTCAAACGCTTGTTGATTGGCTGCCCTGCAGCTTTTCAAAACGTTCCATTAAATTGCCGAACACTGAACTCGAACCTGAAATGTTCGTGGTCAAAAAATCGTAATGTTCGGTACAAACCCATTCGGGTTCGCTCAACTCTATGAGTAAAGTTCTTCACATCAAGCTTGAATTATATTTCAATGTGTGGGGTGGGAGCAGTTCTGCAACAGATGGAGCCAGGAATGTGTGGTTTTTATCTGTTGGATTTCTTTAAATCTTTATATTTTTTTTTATTCCTCCTATTTCTTTTGGAAGAGATTGACAAGTGGATGGTGAAATGAAACATATGATGAGGGCAGATCAGGTTTAATCTAGATGATGGCATTTTTGGATGAGAAATCCTCTATCTTTAAGCGGATCTGTCACCAGAAAATAAGCAGGGGTGTGGTTTTTTTTTTTTGTTTTTTGTTTTTTTTGTTTTATAAGGCACTATAGAAGCAGATTTGATCATGTATTTTTTAATATATATATTCTTCTGAGTACTTTAGTCTTCTAAAATACCTAGTTAAACTATTTTTCCTCGTGTGTAGCAGTCAAGTTGTAGAAACCTAACGAGTGATGCTTAAAGCAAGGTTCTGTTTGTTTCCAATAAAACTCTCCCGTAATCGATTAGTAAAATCAATCCCATATAAGGACAAATCTTATGGATAGAGTACAAAATGGCTGCACTTGGGTATTTAAGTCTGACACATGGCAGAAAGTTGAATATAAAAGACAAGGGAACAAGTGTACTCAAAGAGCGTGGCATAAGAAAATTCTCTAAAGGTGGGAGGAATTGAGCCGCTTTTATGAATTCCTCAAAACACAATTACGCTTCAGTGTTTTGAACTGTGTGTATACACTTTTCGGGAGATGCTCTTTATTCATTCTGCTGGAGAAATTTTAAAAACAAAAAATCTGTCGTATTCCTTTAAGACACTGGCAGCTTAAAGGGGTCTGTGTTCAGTTTTGTGCATATATATATATATATATATATATATATATATATATATATATATATATATATATATATATATATATATATATATATATATATATATATATATTTTGCCATTTAAAATGTCTTCTGACATTCTCTCATTTAAGTCTTCTTGGCTCATGTTGTGATCTCAATGTTTTGGTGTTTTTTTTTTTTCTCCTTAGGATGAAACGGGTGCCTATCTAATAGACCGAGACCCCACTTACTTTGGTCCAGTATTGAATTACTTGAGACACGGAAAACTGGTGATAAACCGAGACCTTGCAGAAGAAGGTGAGTTATTAACTTAAATCTGAGTGAGAGGTTTAAATGGTTCAGACAGGTTTTCATCCACTGGTCTGACTGGAGCAAGAATTGTCGTTTGTAGAAAGTGAGCAGTAAAGTTCACACAACTCTCCGATTGGGAAATATATTGTTTAAAACTATGGTCATGCAACAAAGGTTACTAGACTGTTTGATGTACACTGTTTGTCAGAGGATGTCTCCCAATCTACCTGGATTTTTTTTTTTTTATATTGTGACACAATTACACAAGTATGAATCTTATAAATGTTAACATGCCGAATTACCTGTTTACATGGCGTGTTTCATGACATTTAATACTTTTCACAAGGGTGTGTAACTGACACCTGGTTAGAATGAATGCTTTAACAATACTTGCATTTGTTTGATATCTCAAGCATGATGCACTTAGTCATTTTAAAGCAGGATGACTGAGTTTGTGGTTTGGAATTTTGTTTTGAGGTGTTAATAAAATTAAACCATAATCCACCTGGCTTGCAAGTAGAATGGCATATGTTTCTAAAATACATGTCGTCAGTGCATGGGAACTGTCATGCTTCATATTAAAACCGGCACCCTGGCTGCTTGATTCTACAGTCAACAAGTGACCTATATTATTTATATATTTATTTATATTATTTTGAGCCCCTGCAATCCATTCTGTGAGAAACAGACCTTGATGCAGTAGCTGCGAGAACGTGACTGAGCCGCAAGCAAAGCTGGATATGGTGCAGTTAGCGGTCTGTGTAAATACATTTATCTGCCAGTTCAGCTGCATTGTGTTTTTTTTAAATGGAATTCTTCCTTGGTATTTGCCTGTTCTCGTGTGTGTGTGTGTATTATAATTTTTCTTTGTATGCCATTCAGAATTGGCAAAAATAGGAGTATAAAACTGTACATAATAAAGGGACACTCCAGACTGCAAAGCACTTTAGCTTGTTGAAAAGCTTTGTGTGAAGTGTTTAATTTTGCATATATAGCTAGAATATATATATAATTTATAACAATTTATATATTTATAACAGTTTACGCCACCCTTGGCTTTTAAACCGACCGCAAGCAGGTCCTGTTACTTCCTGGTTTGGCTAGCTCAGTGGAGCTAAACTCAAGATTCCAGCAATTGCTCAGAACATCTGCCTTGCAAATTCTTCTCATTAAAGGACCACTATAGTTTTCCTGGCATTATAGTGCCTTGAGGGTACCCCTCCCGCCAGGCTCTAGGGTGAGGAAGGGGTTAAACTTACCTTTTTCTCCAGGGCCGGGCGGGGAGCTCTCCGCCTCCTCTCCTCCTACTCAGCCGCGCGCGCATTCAGCCAGTCTCATAGGAAAGCATTCACAATGCTTTCCTATGGACGCTGGTGTCTTCTCACTGTGAAAATCAGTGAGGAGCACGCAAGCGCCTCTAGTGGCTGTCAATGAGACTGCCACAAGAGGCTGGATTAACCCTAATATAAACATAGCAGTTTCTCTGAAACTATGTTTATAGAAAAAAGGGTTAACCCTAGCTGGACCTGGCACCCAGACCACTTCATTAAGCTGAAGTGGTCTGGGTGCCTATAGTGGTCCTTTAAGCTCGATTGGACAGAGTCTGCAATCACTCCCCTTCTAACGCCACCCAAAGGCAGAACTGCAACTTTTGCAAGCTGTTTTTAGATGTACCGCAATGAAAAAAATACATAATTGCATGTAAGCCGTTTAGGATATATCTACTAAACTGTGATATTTATTTTTATATTTGTGCTCTTTATATCTTTTCAGAATAGGGAACAACATTATCACATTTATACTGCCTGCCCTTTCTTCTCTCTTCCCCATTCCCCCATAAAATATTGTAATCTGTGTCTTGTTGTTAAGGTGTTCTGGAAGAAGCAGAGTTCTACAACATCACATCTTTAATTAAACTTGTAAAGGACAGAATAAGAGAAAGGGACAGCAAAACGTCACAGGTGAGGTGTATTGTAAGCTTGTGTGGGTAGAGCCTTCTTACCTTCTCTACCCGCATGTCAAACGTATCTTGTCAGAATTATGTCTTGATATATCCATTGTACAGTGCAGAATACATTGGCGCTTTATAACCATTTTCCAAACTCTTGGTACATATTATCAATACCCTGTTACCAGGAGGTATCGAAGACTACCTAGACCACTCATGTTGGTAAAGCTATTTATTTAATTTAGTTATAAATAAGCATGGCCAGCCATAAGAAGAGGGGGAGGGATTCTCTGCCACACTCTTCAATTAACCCTTCCTTTTTGAGCATTACAAGTTTAAAATCTGTAAACCCTTTACTAGCACATCAAAGCCTGAATGCCCCACACACATTCCTTACCCTTGACGAATTCTGTTGAGATTTGGGATCCGTGTCCCGTAAAACCACTGCTTTGCCATCTATATTTAGTCCAAGAATCTCCCTGTAAGTGTGAGGTTAGCTTGGGCTGTGGGTCAGGTCTCCTCCTCCTGCTGTGCAACTCAGATTAAGAGCTCATTTACTGATACTTGTTGCTGTTAAGCCAAAAGCAGCTTAGAGGTTAACATTAACCGCTTTCTTTATTGCCACTTTTTAATCCTTAAAAATATCACGGGTTTACTCTTGGAAGTATGGTGGGAGTGCGGTTTCTACTAATCCACTCCGTTGCAGCATTTTGCACGTGGTGTTTACTGGCATTGTACCTGCATGCGGGTTATGCTGTAGACCTGTGCCAGTCAGGATCGGTGAAATTAAATGGGTAAACTCACCAGGTTTTCCCAACCTCATGAGCATCTTCACTGTTCACCCTAGCTGACTGTAAACTTCCAAATGCCTGTCTTCGTAGCCTATTAAGATCATAAAACTGTTAATTTGTCTATTTTAAAGACAAAAATAGAAGTGAATTCATTTTAGTGTCATAACGAGCTTATAGTCGGTTTTAAAAACACAATAGGGCATCACAGGGACAACAAACAAAATCTATCCCTATTTTATTTGTAATGGATTTGTCTAAAGGAAATATGTTTAAGATTTAACTTTGAAATTGGCAGGAATGTCAAATTGGTAATCCTTTAAAGGGCTTTTTGCTAAACTGGTCTAACATAACTGGATTTTATTTTTATAACTATTGAAAATAAAAAAATAAAATGTATGACCATGTTCTTTTTAATATTGCACTAATACGTTTGTATTTTTATACACACTTTTAAATACCCACAATGCATTACACAGTGTATCTTGTGCAGCATTATTAGTCTCTTGCTGCTCACACCATAGTGTGTAAACCAAAAAGACAGACGCTGCAGTGACTTATAGCATCAACCGTTTGTTCTAGGCCCGCTGGCATTTTTGTAAACGGAGAGCGAGAAAATGCTCTAAATATTCCTTAAAAGGAAATCTATCGCCTGCAGACACTGGACAACATTAACAAAGTGCCCTCAGTGAATTTATGTATTACTACAAGAGCAGACCAAACACTCATTGAGCTGAGATTATTGATGTCACCAGATAATGAATCTCAAATTTAGCAATGCCACTTAATATCTGTCTTCACACACATTGATTTGTAGAACTTTTTTTTTTTTTTTCCCTTCTCTTCTGCGAGGGATGCTGTGATACATTCAGAGTTCATAGAAGGTTCAGCATAATTTTAGAATTTTTCTGCCTCGCAAGTGTATTTTGAGACCTGAAAATATGTAGTGTCAATCTATAAACTCTGAATTCCAAGGCAGGAAAATCGTATCGTATCTAATGGAGACCTGATGCCATTGTGGAAAGAGGTACCTGATGTACTCTAAACGGAGTAGAATACATCCTTGAAATAGATCTACCTTTAATCCGCTTTATGAAGAGCATGCCTTCTGGCATGCATCTGAAACTTGTCCAGTAGAACTGGACATGTACTGTATTTTCTGGAGTAGAAAACCCTTAAGACACCATTTCCACTTGGTCAGCATCATTTTGGTGCTCAGTGCTAATGTCCAAATAGCCTTCCTGGCTATCACATCCCTTATAGGTCTGACCATAATAATGTTACCGTCTGATGTAAAAACTCTGAGTACCAGTTTTAGGCTCTGTACCATGAGAAATGGGCAAACCTGAAAACACTGAAAAGTGGGTAGGTCCTAATTTCACAGAAAAATGTGATGCGGTTGACAAAAAAATTGTCCTAGAAAGCAATGTTTGTGTTACTTCAGTAAGCTAGCATAGATATCACATTTAAAGGAACACTCTTGGCACCATTATATAGCTTCATCAATTTACATTATTGTGATAGGAGGTTCCTGGGGCTGGCTCACCTTTTTTAGGGTTTAAACAGTTCAAACTGTTACAAAAGGACCAGTAACCAGAAACGTGAATGGACAGTACAGGGTGAAGTCTGGAACAAGATGTCTGTCTGTGCTTATCTAATGTCAAGTTTGGAATGTTGGGAGTTGTGCAAACTCCATTTCTGTGTCCAAGGCGGACATCCAAAAGTTGCAGTTGATGCTCGGGTAACACAGCAGTAACTTTTCTAACTTTTCTATCTGCATCAAATTATCGGGAGTATAATCCTGTTTGGTACCACAAATTTGGTATGTGTACATGGGCACTCTTTAAATTATATAATAAATAAAAAAATAAAAATTCTTGGTATAGCCGAATGTATTTATTCCATGTTCAAATATTGCCTTAATATAAAATGATAAATTTCCATTAGTTGGAGATTATGATTTTGTTTTTAGTACTGCTTAGCCCTAATATTCTGGGATTTGGCCAAGAGCACTAGGATTTCATCTGTGCTAATCAGTTTACTGCTTTAGTGAAAGCAATTATGGGGGAGGGGGGGCACACTTGTTCCCACACCATTGCCACAGCTGTAGTATAGTGGTCATACAGTTACAGTATTTGTAAAACCCAGGAATAGACTGTAAAAGACTGGTACTGTGTAATGTTGATACTGCCCTGTATTGAATAGAACAAAATCCATGTTCTCCTGTTAAAGCATCAGTGTTCCTTGGACTTCTCTCCAGACTTATCTTTTGTTTTAGCACTAGTGTTAACATACCACTTAGTGTGTAGTTTATATAGTCATTTCTTTGTTTGTTTTTTTTTGTTTCCTGAAACAAATTATTATTGTAACTAAACTTTAGTTTTCTGCCCAGTGATTTTGACTGTAGTGTGTTTCCATGTATAACGTGGTCATTTCTCCTTGTTTGCTTTTTAAGGTACCAGTTAAACATGTGTATAGAGTGCTGCAGTGTCAGGAGGAGGAACTCACACAGATGGTCTCAACCATGTCTGATGGCTGGAAGTTTGAACAGGTAATAATGAGTGGTATGCCATGTGGGTGAATAACTGTGACCGGCTAATACTTTTAATCCTAAAACTCTTGACTTTTGTTAGTATTTCAAATATAGGTCCATTTCTGATGTATGACTAATCAGATGTATCTGTATTTTGTGGAAGTCAAACTTCTAGCTATTTACATCTTAACATGCTTCTGAATCTCACAAAATGTTTTAATTCTGATCCCTTCATTGGCATGAAACACTAGATTCTTTCCACAATCCTAAGTGTGGCACAGAGCCGTGCCAATTAACTGCCTGCATATAAAGCTTTGTGGAATGCAATATGCCATAAATGAAGGCACTGGGAGAGCGTTACAATATACTGAGAGCAATAGCACTGCCAAAGATCTCTCGGGAGGAGTTCTTTTTCAGTACTATAGAAGTGTATAAAATATTTACCTTATCTGAAGACTAGTTCCAGGCTAGTGTTGCAGGATATACACTCTAAAGAATACAATATATTAAAGTTCTGTGTAAAACAAGATTACAATGACATGTGAGAAAAGAACACCGTGCCAACCTTCTACTCATTTCAGCAGGCTTGTAACACTAGTCTCTACTTAAATGGCTAATGCAGCTACATTTAAATATCTAATTAAACCATGATCTTTGTCTAATACAACAAAAAAAGTCTTTACAACCAAATAACCTAACTTTTAAAAAAGACTGCATTCGTGAACGCAGGTGATGCATGTCTCTTACATCTGTGAAATCCATTTCCTGTTAAAGGGACTCTCCAGTTGATTGGAATGCAAACATATGACGCATTCTATTTTTGAAAGTCTTTTTTATGAAAACGCATAAATAGAAGGAAGTATTTGCCATCTCTTAATGCTCAAACAGCAAAGGCAGCTTCATGTGTTTTTTACCTTCGCGCTCTTAAAGGGACACTCCAGGAACCCAGACCACTTCTGCCCATTGGAGTGGTCTGGGTGCCATCTCCCACTACTCTTAACCCTGCAAGTGTAATTATTGCAGTTTTTTTTATAAACTGCAATGATTACCTTGCAGGGTTAACTCCACCTCTAGTGGCTGTCTAGTAGACAGCCACTAGAGGGCACTTCTTCATAGCACAGAAAACCTGTTCTAGAGCGTCGCTGGATGTCCTCACGCTGTGTGAGGACCTCCAGCGTCGCTCATTTCCCCATAGGAAAGCATTGAAAATGGGGAGCTCTAATATGGGGAGCTCTAATATGCGTGCGCGGCATTGCCGCGCATTTGGTCTCGCCCACTGGCTGACATAATCACTGGGAGGAGCGGCAGCGGAGGAAGAAGCAGCAACCAGGTATTTTCACCCCTTCAGCAACCGGGTATTGGGGGGTGGGAGGGAGAGGGCACCTGCAGTGCCAGGAAAACTGATTGATTGTTTTCCTGGCACTGGAGTTTCCCTTTAAGGCGCATCCTTCCTGTCCATGCCGAGAGGTGCTGTAGTCTCATACACCCATCCCTTTGGACAGTGTTCACATTCTTAAGTAAAGGCTGCTTTAGCAATTGCCCTGTTCTCCTCTTGATAGTAACCACTAGACTGATCTGACCTCCCTGATCTTCTTTCACTCCTGGCCACCAACAGAGGTGAAAGGGAAAATCTAGTGCAGACTTGTACCTGTGCGCATTTTATTGGGAGATATAATATAAACTTGTTCCAGTGTTGTTAAACAGAGAGAGTTATGTTATCTTTCACATGAATCCCATCATGCACTCAATTTCGAGTATTAAAGTTGTATTCCCTATTGTTCTCAATTATAATATCCCATGGAGTAGGGGCATCTTGTGTTTTCAAGATTCTTAGATGAACTGCCCTGTGGAGTAGCTGCATTCATTTGTATCCTAAAGCAACCCTTTTTATTAGATTTTGGAATGGGGTCTTGTCTAATGGATAATGTACTGGCCAACATTCACCAACAGAGTAGAACATTGCTCAGACATGCTTTGAGTCTATAGTACTGTAGCTCTCCCACAGTCCCGTGACGGGGGTTCTCTTGGTGTTTAAGTTTTCATCTTTTAGAAGGCTCTCTTCTCCCCCACAGCTTCATATCCATGCAGTTTTTAGCTGTTCCTCTGGATCATGCTTGTAGACCCCTGGGCATTAATTTATTGATCAAGAATTCAGCATTTTCCCGGTTCTTGTAATTTCAGTCCCTTTCATGGGAAACCTGACTCTAGCTGCTCAGCAGTCTTTAAACCCCCTTGCTTTATATATAAAACGGTTTTCTTCTTAACAACTTTTTTATATGTGTATATATTAATCCATTTTAAAGTAACGTTTGGGAGGAAGGGTGCTGTCGGGTTAAGTTGGTATAAGTTTAACCGACTGGCGTCTAAAAATGCAGAGCTAATGCAGGTCAGGCGAGAGCCAAAAGATATCCAAGCATCCCCATAGGAAAACATTTTATTCAATGCTTTCTTATGAGATTCCGCATCATGGCCATTTTTCTCAGTGTCCAGAAATGAATTGGGGAACTGCACTCAATCCTATCACCTGGAGCCAGGGTGAAACTAAACCTCGACCCAGCACCAAGTACCAGATACATATACAGAAAACAGAGGATAAAGTAGGCAGCTTATTCAAACCAGTGTCACACCGCAACATTTAACCTAAGCTTGACAAAGACCTTTCAGGTCGAAAGTGTGACTTTAAGTTTGAATAAATTGCCTACTTGGAATGCCTGAACCTCTCTTTTCTGTATATAGTTCTACTCTGTGTGGCAGAAGACTGCCATTTAACCCTGCAATGTAAACATTAGTTTTAGTTTAAACAAAACAAAAACTGGCTTCCAAGTGAATGGGAAGTCACTGGCTGACTGCTCTCAGCCAGTCAGTGGCGCCCCTGCACGGCGACACTGTGCACATACTAAAGGTGACATTTAAGAACCTGGATGCCCTCTGAAGAGTAGTGGAGATTTCCACTAAAAACGAGAGCATGGTTTAACCCCTTGAGGTAAGAGTGCTTCTGGGGCTTCCTGGCACCATTCTTTGTTTTGTGTGTGTGTGTGTGCCTGGAGTGCTTCTTTAAATTGTATTAGGCAAACATTCATTGTTTTACCTAATCAACCTTTTTCCTCTTCTGTTTGTTACAACGAAGATTTAAATGGAATCCTAAACTCTAAAAAGCTACTCTGCTCCTGCCCCTACCAACCATATGAAGTGTGATGTGACGATCTGTTACTGAAGTATTGAAACCTTATTGCTTTTTAAATGGTCTTGGTGATTAAACCAAGGCTGTACTAATGGGTGTCTGGGGACAAAATAACTTATGGTAAAAGTTTCATTCTACATTTTAACTCTGTGCATTTTCCCCCCATCTAAGAGTGAAGTGATGGGAGCACAGCAGGTTTGGTAACACTTGCTGTATATAATGTTCAGTGTGTGTGCTCATTATTTACTGTGGTTGTTGCAGTTTGTCAGTATAGGTTCCCTTTATGGATGCGGGCGGGATCACCAGTCAGAGTTTCTGCTCATTGTATCAAGGGAAGTGAAAGGGGAGGAGACAAGTTTCCAGAAATGCAGTGGCGAGGTGTGTCCTATGCTTCTCATAGCCTTCTTTACGCCATCTTCCTTCATTCTCTGCAGTCCTGCATGGCACTCCATTCTGCGGTCTTTAATTTAATCTGACATAAATATTGCAGTGGTCCTTAACCCCTTCATGCTGGTGGGTCTGTAATTTGAGACTGCTGGACAAGTGGTTAAAGGGCCCAAACCCGTGTATCTTTTTCTCCTATGTGAAAGCAGAAGTGGTAATCTTGACAAATCTCTGGGAACAAATCCATTCTTAAATTGGGAATGGAGAGAAAGTTTCCTGCCCTTGCTAAGCTGCATTCTCCTGGTCAACATATTGCAAGGATGCAGGTGTGCAGAGCACTGGGCAGATGGGCAGCTGCAAGGCTGCCTATAGTTGTGTTTTGCTGCACAAGTTAATAAAACTTTCTTCAATCAGCTATTTTCATTTGGTAACCTTGACGTTCCAAGCGTCAGAGGGGTTAAACACTGGACAGCATACTCTGTCAATTAAAGGGTTAAATCTATTGATTCATGATACATGCTCTTATGTAGGAGAAACTTGCATGCTGGCTTTGCAATTTTATATAGATTTCACTTATATTTTCTCTGCCCCTTTTGAAGACTCAGTATGGCTCTTCATCTTGCATTGCTCTTCTTGCTGAGAAACCTTGCATCTGCAATGACATTGTTACTTGATTATTTTGTTTAAGCCGACAAGCACCATTACTCTTAAGTCATTTGACATATTGCCTTAACATGCATATATCCATTTTTATTAAAGACTTAGGTTTTTGGAGATGTTAAGCTCCTACATTATTATTTAATCATCTAAGATTTGGGGAAGTCTGGTGGCTTATTCATATATTCGTGTTTTCAGTCTTAACAAGGAAAAATTGTGTTCCAAGGATTGACCTCTATGCCTATAACATTTAGATTATTATTCTCTAAAGTGAGAATGCAACAATAATTTCAGATTTAAGGATGGAGTAGCTGAAAGCGTTAACACGCAGGTTTGTATTTCTAATGCTTGTGTTCTGTCTATAATTGAACTGTGACACACACCCAGCGCCACTTGCCCACTCCTCTGCAATGGTCTAATCCAATAGAGCAGCATTGGGGACCATATCTGCAGGCATGTTTTCCCTTGGGAAAGCATTGAGTCATAGCATTCCTTTTGGGAGCTGCTATGTCACGTGACTGTTTTTACTCCATTGTTGCAGCAAAAGTGCCTCTCTGGCTGTGTAATGCAAAGCAAACACTGTAATTTCTGCAAAATGCAATGTTTCCCCTTGAGGGGATAAATTGACAGGATCAATTAATAGATTAATTCATTGACTTTAGTGTTCGTTTGAATTTTCATTTTAGTGAACATCCATGTTGGTTCAGAGGGAGGGGAGGGTGGCATTTTAACACTCCTGAAACTTTTCCTGGAGAGAATTAATTTTAAATTTGTATTAAAACCCTAAACATGCATACTATTCTGGCTTTAGCTGAAGTAAAACTGAAATGGTAGCTTACATTTATTTTATTTTTTTTCTAAAAAAAATGTACACATGTACAAGGTCACAATACTACTGCTCTGTTTAAGGTTTGCTTGTTTTTTGGCCTGTAACAAACATCTAAATTGTCGGCCACCCTGACTGTTTTCTGCAAGAATATGCATCAAAAGAAAGCATCCTTTGTCCCTAAACATCTAGTCCTCAATGCTATTGTAAACTGGTAGATCCTTCTGCTAGATGGAATTGTATTTAACAGCAGCGTTGTATAGAGTTGACACTAACAGAACACATGATCATGCTTTCATAAGGTCTCTTGCAAACATGGTGGTTAAATTGCCTCTATTAGGGACAGACAAACCAGCATAACTACTCAATCTGCCTAAAATTATTTAAGGACCTCTTACTACTTCAATATCCCAAAAATATATATATATTTAATTTTATTTTTTTTAATAGATTTTCCAGATTCAGCAGCTTTAATTCTTTTTATCCCCTTCTGCAGTTTAATGTTTTGACAAAATAATATATATATCTGTACACATAACCTCTGTGCTTTATAACGGTTTGTTATCCAGAAAGGAACATTATCATTTTTTATATAGCTACACATAGATTGGTATCAAAATCCAAGAAGGCAGCAGAGATGGAGAGGGAGATGAGGGGTTGCACATAAATGGGAGACGGTAGAAAGGTCTAAAAGAAAATGTAGGTGATGAGAGAGCTGCATTGTCTCTATCTGGGGTCATAGTTGAACAAATCGCACTGATTTATGGAAATTTTAGACCTTTTTGTTGTGAGGTTTTTATCGGTGGTAGTTTTCTACAGACTTAGAACTTGCCTTTCTAGTATTGCCGTAAATCCTACCTTGTTTCGACGGTATCAGGGGAATCAAATAGGTCCTATCTGAAAACGTCTATCTTGTGCCCAGAGGGCCAGCCCTTCCCTTGCATATGTTCTACGCTAACGTGAATAACTTAACATATGTCAACACCATTAGGGTTGACCACCCAATTATGCATCTTTAGATTTATAGAGGCTTAATGGAACAGCAAGGTTTCTGATCAAAAGGTGGTTTGGTTTTGACACCTAAGCAATGCTAAAACTGATGTGGCATTTTCCCCCAAATGTACAGTAGAATTCATTATGTGTGGTAAAGGAACACTTTATGAAAACATTTCCAAAAATAGACTTGTAAGACTAAGGGACACTTGACGTGGAGGGCTTTCCTTATTGCAGCTAGGTCTAAATCATTTTAATTCTAAATGATGCTCTCTGAACAGATTATGGTGGCTTGTTTAAAACTCTGATGTACCTTTCCTGTGTAAATACTGTGTAAATACTAGGGTTTTCTTGAAACTGACTTAAACTGCAGTAGACCACTTTATGTAAAGAGTGTTAATCTTGGTTTTATGAGGCTTCTGTTAATCCATCTGGACTTCCATGTCTATTGTTGGTGTGGAAATTGTATGTATTCTTTTCATATGAAAGGATCGTTTCATTACAAGTTTTATTGATATCCTATGCAAATAGCTTGTCATCCAGACAACACTTGTATAAAATCCAGGACTATTATAATGAACATAAGGTTCCCCAATTCATGGGCTTAATGCTCAGAAATAGCTCGACAATCTATTCTAATAATCCTATGTGAAAATCTACTCTGTATCCGCATGCCAGAACTATGTACATGTACCTAAAAAGCTTGACTAACTCTTAAAGTTGCCAACCAGTTTACATGTTTGAACAACTTGATGGGATGATGCTTAGCAACACAATATTGCCTGTTGCGGTCCTTCATACTGTCTGTTTCTAAACTGGCTTACAGCTCTGTGCCATAAATAATTCAAGATCTCTCTCATATATCCTACACCTTTAATTGGGTTATATGAAGAATGTTGAAAGATGGTAGATGACACTTTGTGCTCTATTCAAATTGTGTAGATCCTATTGGTATCATTGGAGGAAGCATTCCTCCCCCCCTTTATTATTTTATTTTTTTGGCATATTTCAGATACCCTTTAATATTCCAACAAGAAACTTGTAAAGGACCATATAAGGCCAATGGCTGCTCTTAGAAGGAATAGATAAACCAGTAATGGTGCTCTGTTTAATTTTTATTTATTTGTTTACACTAAATTACCGGTTACCCCAAAATTTGAAATGGAAACCTACCTGATGTGGTTGCTTTATCGTAAAATAGACCTATATGGCCTTAAACAATATAATCAAGTTGAGAGTAATTCTTGCAGTCTGTATCTTGATATAGCTTGTGATTCGGTCTGTGGGTGCTACAATGCAATTTCTGCAGCTGGAGAATGTTCGCTTATGCCTGAGGTGTATCTGTTTCTTTCCAACGATTTGCCTAGAAATTTCTTAACTTCAATCTATTTATTTTTAGCTTGTCAATATTGGCTCTTCCTATAACTATGGAAATGAAGATCAAGCAGAATTCTTGTGTGTTGTGTCTAAAGAATTGCACAATACCCAGTATGGAACAACTAGTGAACCCAGCGAAAAAGCAAAGGTTAGTTTATGATGGCTCATTGACGTCTTTATACTATGAATCTGAATGTATGAAAATACCCATATCTGTTAAAAACAAAACTTCATATAGCTTGGTCAAATGTGATAAGTCTGTATTTATTCTTTTTTTTTAATTTTATATATTTTAATTTACCTTGCCTGATTCCCACAGTAATGTTACATTTTGCTTATTTACCTCAAGGTCTATCCTATCTTTATTTTTGTGTTTATTAAATAAATACCTAAGCCGATTATTAATTTCTAATTAACAGCACTGTTAAAGGGCGAGCAAAAGAGTAATGCCTCCCAAATTGAGGCATTTTCATTTTAATGAAAGATTGCACTGTGCTAATTCATAAAACACAGCCTAGCTGCCTGTACTGCAGTGATGCATGGCCTAACATGACTGCCATCTTGTTCAGTACAGCGTGAACTGTGCTTTACGAGAAGACTTCTGCGGCTACACTCCACCAGGCAACAAGAACAAACCCCCTCAAACTTTTAAGGGATGATTCATCTGCTTAACAAAGATTTTGAATGGAAGACTGGGCAAATACACCCACACTGGCATGCAGTTTTTACCAGTGATTTCTAAAGGGGCAGGATTGGCACTATAACCTCTACATGCTGTGATTTGTAGATTGTGAGCACTTATCACTGGTTCAAAGTCAACTTGCCATGGTCAGTTTGAGGCTCCCTTTGCCATTTTACAAATGGCTGTGCAATTTCCTCCATATTTGCATGAAATGACTTCCCATCACTCTACTGCCATCCAAATATGGATTACATGTTATATTGGTAATATTGTCAATGTTCAAGGAAATGGCAGATTTGGGGGTTCTCCAACTTTGACAAATCTCACCGTTGACCCAGAAGTAAAGACTGTGCTTGCACAAAAAACAATTACAGTAAAATTTTAGTAATAGAAGCTAATAATCCATCCTAAAGACAGGCTAAGCACCATAATGTATGGGGCATTAACTATGGAACCCATTTATCAAACTAAATTTTAGAATGGCACAGTGACCCATTCACAGCATGTACTGTAGAATAGAACCAACAACTTCAATAATGTGTGAAAATGCCTTATAGTGTAATTGCATTGACATAATTTTTCTTAGGCACTTGTTGAGTAATGCCAATTGGGGATCTAATAAAATGGCCTCTGGGATAGTTTTAGGTCCTGATCCAGGGATTGAACTACTGGTTAAATCTGGTCAATAATGCGGATTAGAAATTCCCACTAATCCACTTACATGTGTCATGTTAGGAAGTCCAGCTTTTCCAGACAGGGAACATTGAATAGAGTAGCACCACTTCTATTTTATTTATTTTTGCTATTTACAGAGCCAATGAATATACTTCAACGATCTTTTGTAATAACAACATTAAACTTAAAAGTTTAACTTTTGGTTCATGAATAGAATTGCTAACAGTATGCAGTAAAATGGACACGTGCCTCTAAACTTGCTCCATTACAACTTCCACCGCAGTATAGGGGTAGTGGTGTGCACAGTCAATATGTACCCCAGCTAATCCATAGTGATTGTTGAGGAGGCAGTAGTATGTTAGTCTGGTTTACTTATTTGTTTGGCTGTGTACCCGTTTCATAGTAAAAGGAGACTCCCTGAAGGCAGAACTGACTGGAGATGTCTATCTGCGTAGACACTGGTAATAAATGTCGTGTATTCATTTTAAATATTTTTTTATTTTATTTATATATATATTTTTTTAATATGGAGATGCAGAGAGGGTGGGGGGTGCAAGATAGGAAAGGTTACTCTGGCCAAAACAGGTTTGTTTTTGTGGTTTCATTTTATTTTTTTTTTTTTTTTTTATTTTTTTTCCTTAAAACCTATAATGCTCATTATGGCTAAATCTGCTTTCACAGGTGCCTTCCTCCAAGTATTGAGTGACTAGTATTACAACATTGCATGCTCTTGGAGTTTGAAGAATAGTATAAACTCTTCCATTTACAACCCATTGTTTCATAAACAATCTCTCAACATTCTTATACTTTTTGTGTGCAATATAAGCCAGGCAACTTTAAGCATTTACTGCATTAATAAAAATTGTTTTGGTTTTGTGTGGATTTTTATTTATTTTTTTTCTCACGTTTCAGCATTCTTATTTGCTAATGTTGCTTGCATTCTTGTCTGTTTTTATTTAATTTTTTTTGTGTGGCTTTAATTTTTTTTTTTTTCTTAACTGCTTTTCTTTTCCACTCCCTTTCTTTGCACATGCATGCTGCATGCTCGTACAGAGTGAGGACGAGGAGACGGATTACGATATGAATGACTCAGATTAAGTTATAACTCACTGGTGAGAGCTAGCTTTCCTGAATCCCTCACAGCTCCCCTAGATCTGTTCCTCGCCCATGCCCATCCTAGCAGCTCTAGTTATCTTTACCCTGTACCCCAAATGTTTTTGTTTTTTTCCTTCCCAGTATAGTCGCACACTGCATTAGCCAAACAAATGGAGCTTAAAATGTCTTTGCCATAAAGTAACCGTTACGGTTTATTTTACAAAGCATTATGGGAAGGGTGTGCGTTTTTGTTTTTATTTTTTCCTTCATCTGAGTTGGAATAAAGCAACTTTGATGGTTTTGATATCTAACAGACTATAGTTGCGTTATCTGGTGGAGCCAGAAATTAATCGAACTGCTACTATGCATGAGGGTTCGTATGGATTAGACAAATTTTTAAATATATATTAACTTGGTTTATTAAATCAAACTTTAGGATTTTAAATGTTTAAGTCCATGTTCAAGAACAAGCAAAACAGATTTGGACAGACCTGACTGCTAAATATATTTGCTGCTAATGCATTTCTAAGCTGTATAATGACTGTTTGTTTATACATAACATGGTCTATAAATTGTTCTGAAAGGTAATGTAAAGGGGAGGAGTCTCTAACGGAATATGCGTGCTGGTTCCAGTGGTGGTCAGAGGGATATCTCCACTCTTTATTTTAATTTTTTTTACCTTTTTTATTTGTACTGTAGACCATTTTATAGAACAGAACACTTTGACATCTTCCCTGTTGTGGTAAAATACTTGGTCCTAAAAGGGGTTAATTATTTGAAGGTTTCGCATGTCAATAAGTGCCATTTTAAGTAAGGAAGGTTGATCAGAAAGCCTCAATACAGATTTACATTTCCCAGCAGTACGATTTACGGAACAAAAGAAAAATTAATATGTTCCCTTCTCAAGGGCCCTCAAAATATCTTTGCACATTAGTTTGCTGATGGGTGTCTTTCCTCATTTGACACCACTGCTGTTGCTTTCTGGGACATGTCTTATTTCAATCAATAAATTATTGGCCATCAAAGAAAATCCTATTTTATTGGATTAGTATTTGCAGCCTTCCCTCCCCTTTGTTTCTCATTCCTGAGCATTGAGGAAAGGTCACAATGTGTTTCGGAAGTAAGAAATGATTCCAGGAAAATCAATATTTACAGCAGTGCAGTTGTGAGCAGGGTGTTTCTAAAAGGACTGCATATGACCTGCTAGATGTAGCAGGCAAGCCCCCATTACTAGTGATTGTATGGATGAAGCAATCAGTTACAATACTTTACTAGTTAAAACTTATTTGCACAGGGCAGCAGCAAACATGATATTAAAACATTGCACTAAGAATTCAGATTTCAGTTTGATAGGCTAGGCTCTGAGCTGATATTTTTTTAATAAATAAAAAAATTAAAATCAAGATGTGTGGACTCTTTACTGCTTATCTCCCTATCAGTTTAGCAATGTGGCCTTAAACTGACAAAGCCTCGTGACAATCTATCTGGCACATCAATAGTAAACTAACCCCTATCATTAAAATCTGTTTTACGATACCATAGAATGTCACATTTATTCAGCATTAGTGGGGCACCACACATTTACTGTTGGTCACCTTCCAACTAGGTCTCAATGAATCAGGCTGTTGGAGCATAGAGGACACACAAATATAAAATAGTCTGTGTATTAACTCCTTTGTGACGTGCATTCATGCATGTTAAATTCTAAATCTGATTTAGTCATTTTATTATGTATCTGTTTCACCATGAATTGGTAGCTTTTTTAAAAATAAAATGTTAGGTGCAGTCTAAGCTATCTTTATTTATTTTTATGCGTGCAGTGTTAAATTACAAGCTTTCTTATTGACTTTATGACGAAAGTTGTAATGACAATGTTAAACAAATAAGATGTGCTGCGTTGTTTTTTTTTTTTTTAAGAGAACAATCTTAGTCAGAGTAAGGCATTACATTAGCATAGGTCATAAAAACATGCAAATGTAAGCTATCTTTTTAATACAGTAGATGTTTATATAACTTTATGCATAGATATTAAAAACCAAAATGCAGGAGAGGGTGGCTGAGTACTTTTCAGTGTAGCTATAGTTTACACGCGTTCTATAAATTGGGGGAAGCGGGGACTTAGACTCCCAGGTTCTTTTCTCAGAGGGATTTTGACTTTTCATCTAACCATATAATCACTAAACCTTTATATTATTTATCTATATAATTTTATTTCAAAACCACAAAGGTAAATGTAACAAGATGTTGCAAACACGCCCACTTATTTTTGTTTTGTAGCTATTTAAGCATAATGTGTGCCAAGGGAAGATACAAACTAGCAGAAAGCACCCAGTGTCAGACTTTAGATATTTACAGTCTGTCAGTTGTTTTAGGGGAGTTATACGGTCAAACTAAACCTCTTTTGCATGGGGTAGAATAGAAGCCTTCAAACTGCACCTTGGCTCATGATGACAAAGTTGGGAAAAACCGGCTATCCTGAGGGAAATAACCCAGGATATTTTGAGTCCTCGTGTGGTTGTTTTATTGCAAACATCTTCAGGCTTTAGCTGTATCTTATTGTTTTTTTTATTTTTATTTTTTCTAAGGAGAAATTGTAGAGTGACATTACAGATATGGCCTTATTATGCTAGGCCTACAGACTTTTGAGTTTGGTACCTGTTCTATAGGAATAATTTAGGACCTGATTCTAAACCTATATTGTAGGCCAGGGGTCCTTAAACTCTGGCCCCCCAGATGTTGCTGAACTACAACTCCCATGATTCTCTGGCTATCTATGTAATTCAAAGAATCATGGGAGTTGTAGTTCAGCAACATCTGGGGGGCCGGAGTTTGAGGACACCTGTTATAGGCTATCAAGGGAAAGTGATCACTGATGGATGCAGTGTGTCGTAGGCTTTCCCTATTAAAGGGACACTCCCAAGAACCATGCTGTACCATGATCTATGCAACATTATGCATACATGTCCCCCAGATGTTATAATCTTTGCCTGTAATTGCAGTGATATGGCTCTCTGGTCTGAGTGACCCTTGGGCACAGCATTGCTGAACTGACTCACACCTAGTTTATTTTACCAATTGCCTAGGATCTCCACAAATGTCAAGAGCTGCTATTCATGTACATGGTCTCACCCATCATTAAAGGGTGATAGACTTGTATTAATGGCTGCCAAAACCTGCTTCTTGTGTAAAGTTGTTTGAGATGGTTAAGAGGAATGCTTAAAGGTGCATCATAGGCATCCAGATTACTTCATCTTCAAGTAGTCTGGGTGCAGTGTCCCATTAACTCTAACCCTGCAATCTAAAACATTGCAGTTTTGGGGGACGGGGAGGGACTGCAATATTTACATTGCAGTGTTAAGACGGCCTCTAGAGGCTGTGTGCTAGACGGCCACTAGGGGCACTTGCTGAGGACATCCAGTGTGTTAAAACATTGTCAATGCCTTCCTATTGTAAAAGCCTAATAGGCATGTGGCGCTTGCTGTGCACGTACATTAGATTTCTCCAGTGGAGGAGCCTGACCCAAGGTCAAGTGACAGCGACACTGGAATCGGGTACTTTTTTTTTTTTAGGATTATTTAACCCCTTTCATGGCATGGACAAGGGATGTTATTGTGTTGGGAATGCAGCTTTATATTCTTAACACATTCTTAGTGTTCCTTTAATGAATCCAGAGTAAGTACTCACAGGACCGATAAAAGTTAGGATCTCTTATCTAGTCTATATAGTAACTATGGCGTCTGAAGATGACAGTTTAGCGGCCATACCAGATAATCTGCAGCTTCGTGGTCTAGAACAGGGGTAGACAACATTCAGCACTCCAGGTGTTGTAGACTAATTCTCCCATGATGCTTTGCCAGTAGTATAACTGTGAGGGTGTTATTGGAGATTAAGTTTACAATGTCTGGAGTGCTCAAGATTGCCTGCCTCTGATCTTTAATACGGATACCCTGCCGATTTCTGTTCTCCTGGTAATTTAGGGTTTAATGTCTCAGACAGGCACTTCTGTGCCTAACGGTTGATAGAACTAGATTCTAGATGGAACAATTTCTAGGAGAGAACATTTTAAAATGCACATGTCTGCTCCGACTCTTTTCTTATACGATGAAAAGAGAATATTAAAAATAAAAAATTCTCCACCTGTTGATGAAAAATTATCACTATTCTAGATCTGACGTTGAATCTAAATCAAGCATGTCAAACTCAGTCTAGCATGGGCCATATAAACAAGGTTTAAGTTTATGTGGGCCGCAAAAAAAAAACTTTTATAGAAACGTAGGTTTATTTTAAAAAATGCAGTATAAAAAAAAAAAGCTCCCAGCCTCCCCCTCTAGCCAACAAGCAGACTCCACTCACATTGCTGCTAGTATGCGACTCCAGCCTCTGGTATACCCCAAATTGCGGCGCCTGCACCCTGTGTCAAATCTGATACTCCCGCTACATCTTGAAACCCTGTGAAGGTGGAGCACGTCGATGTCACGTCAGAATGTGATGTGGCGTTGCGTGCCTCCAGGTACTCCACTGTCCAGTTGCAGCCAATGCAACACTGACCCACACACACACACATTTATAGACAATCAGACACTGACAGACACATTTTCTTTTTTTCTCCCTACCTTTGGGAGCTGATGTGGGGCCTCTCCCTGGGGTCCAGTCTGGATCTTCTATCTGCTCCCTCGCGTGGTTTAGTGGTGCCGGAATATGACGTCCTATTCCGGTGTCCGGCTTCACTACAGAGGGCGCGTGAGGGAGCAGAAACACTGAGCTCCCTCCCTGGCCTTGCTCCCCGGCCTGGTAAGTGTATGTATTTATTTTTATAAATGTGGGCAACGCCGGTGCCTACTCTGCTATAATACTAAGCACAGGCTGCAAATATGTCCATTGTGGGCTGTGAGTTTGACATGCTTGATCTACATAGTTCACAAAGGACAAAGGCCTTACAACTTGGACTTATTGCACTGCCGCACATATCAAACATTAAAGTTTAGTCAATTCTGTAATACATCTATATTTAACGCCTGGGTAATTCCTTATTTATTTTTGCCATTTGTTTTTGGATATCGCCACCATTAACCATGAACATCTTGAGAAGAGTGATTGTACTAATACAGAAATCAACTATTTAAATGGTATACGCATCCTGTCCAATGCATCTTTTACTCACACTCAACCTTGTGTCTTTCAGATTTTGCAAGAAAGAGGCTCCAGAATGTGAAGAGGCTCTTGCAAAGTGAAGTGATCTTTTCCAATTATTTGAAGCAACCAATGTCCAGATGCAAAGAGTTGCCAACAGAGTCACATCAAGAAGAAACCTGCTTTAGTTAATGTAGAATATTGACCTGATTTTGGAAAGATGCACTCTATCAGATGCTGCAGGAAAATTTAACCTTAATTTCATATTGGACAACTTGTATTTTGGGGGGGTTAACGGCTTCCACCCGCCACCCCATTCCCTGAACCCCTCTTCATCCATCGTCTGCAGCACCTTGTTATAAACTGGCTTAACACTAGAACGGGCAATGCAAATGAAGATTAAAACTGACAACTTGTAAATACAATAAATCGCCCTACTCCACGACTGAGTGTGTACTTTGAGACACTAAACAGACCCACTCGTCCATAATTTTATTTGATATAAAGAACCTTTAGCCAGTGTTTTTACTTGCTAAACCAACCCTGACAATTTGGTTACCCCCCCCCCCTCATTAGAAAATTCCTTTAGAAGACCTCTTCTAAGGCAGATTGTTTATAAAGAGATCTGTGTATTTAAAAAAAAAAAATGTTTGTTTTTTTTGAGAGAAGAGAATCGATGGCATGCCCAATATTTTCTGCACTTGTCTACTGCTGCTGCTGCAAAAAAAAAAAATAAACAACTTTCCCTGTCTTTTTAATACAAATATGCTGCGCTTCAATTCTACCTTAAGATCTTCACAGCCCCTGTTAAAGTTTCATTTTCTCCTTTCCACCCCTTTCTTTTAAAAGTGTATTTGCACACTTGCATCAGTTAAGAGATGTTTACTTATGGACTATGAACACAGTACATATTGAATAGGGAAAATCTGTGTGTTGTTGCATTGCTTTAGTTAAGTTTTTTTTTTTTTTTTTTTTTAATATAACCACCTCCCCTTGTTTCATTTAGAGAAAATGCAACTCTGCCCCTGTACCCCTTTAACAAAACAAATGAGTTGCTGGGTAATGTCTTGTAATCGATGCTTTGTATAAAAGTTAATATTTCTAATACAGTACCTTTTTATATAGTGTCAATCCCCTTGGGTTCTCATGCTGTTGCCCTACAAGAATATATTGTGTTGGCATGTTTTGAACAAGTAATTTTCCAATTTATAGTGGCCTTTTAAATAAGCTGGGTTTTTTATAACCGGTTAGGGCATTACACTTTTTTTAATATATGTATATGTGTATACATTTATAAAGCAATTTAAAAGGTGTGGGGTTTTTGTTTTTATTAAAAGTGTATGTGAATATATAAGCAGGCTGTTGAAATTGTTAACCCATAGCATGATAGTGACATGTGCTGCATAGTATTCTAAAGACCTCTCTGTTCATATTTAAGCTAAATTTGTATATTCATTTATTTATTTTTTTTCTCCCTTTTATGTGTTTATACCTTTAGAGACTTGATCAAGAATAGTCTGCCAGTTTAGAATCTTCATTTCTGTGAAAAATGCCTTATTAATGCAACTTTACCTTCTCTCCAACCTTCGTTAGATATGTGGTAGCGTTTGCTCTGCTTTTCTTAAAACATCCCACTGCTACAAAATGCACCATTTACACACTGACAAGGCTTACTCCCTGAAGTAAGAATTCAAAGTGAACCTTGAAATGTAAGGTCTGAATAGTTGAACTGGAAAAATTCTCTAACTTCGCTATGCTTCCATTTTGGCTACTTTGGGCTTACATTTCATATCCACTTTGAATTCTCACTTTAGTGGATAACACTTTGAGTCATTCAGTATACAGTTTTAGACCGACACTGCATATCTGTATCAAGGACGTTGGAATTAGGTGTGCTATAGGATTTGCTTTCAGGATTTTTCTCCACGATCTGAGTTTTTAAAGTGTCTGGATGCATTCTCAAATTTTGCATGTCTCCTCGTGAACGTGGACTTGTCAAATACACCAGGTTTTAAAAATGAAGAAACTCTGGGAAAAAAAGTAACTTTATTTATTTTTAAATCCACAGCTTGGAACTTTGGCAACATGTTGTATATGTGTGTGCAGTTCGTTCAGTCTTTGAGACTGTAAATTAATACAATTAAGTTCAAGGATTGTCCGAATCAGTGGTGCTTAGCCTGCTTTCATTAAACTACATTACCAGACTTCCCAGTCAACAGCTGACTGACCGTGTGTCCTGACATCTGGCGGGCAAAGATAAGGTGCCGGTATCTTGGGTCTCACAGAATCTTAAACTTAGAAAATGTATCCAAATTTGTAAAAGTAAAATACTTGAAATTTACTTGCATTTCCATGTTCACTAGAGTGGTGAATATATATGATGTTTAACTAATTTGTGCCTGGCTTGAAACCTCTTGATTGTGAGCATTCTATTTTTTGGAAGTAGTTTAGAGCTTCTACAATATTCTTTGGCACCTGGATTTGTAATATGTGGCATTTAATGGCAGTTTAGATCAGACCTAAACATTGATCCCCATATTTGTTTTGATTTGCATGTCCTAAGGAGTGAACAGCAGTTCATAGAAACTACCACATACAGTTGCAAGAAAAAGTATGTGAACCCTTTGGAATGATATGGATTTCTGCACAAATTGGTCATAAAATGTGATCTGATCATCATCTAAGTCACAACAATAGACAATCAGTCTGCTTAAACTAATAACACACAAAGAATGAAATGTTGCCATGTTTTTATTGAACACACCATGTAAACATTCACAGTGCAGGTGGAAAAAGTATGAAGTCTTGGATTTAATAACTGGTTGAACCTCCTTTGGCAGCAATAACTTCAACCAAACGTTTCCTCTAGTTGCAGTTCAGACGTGCACAACGGTCAGGAGTAATTCTTGACCATTCCTCTTTACAGAACTGTTTCAGTTCAGCAATATTCTTGGGATGTCTGCTGTGAATCGCTTTCTTGAGGTCATGTCACAGCATCTCAATCGGGTTGAGGTCAGGACTCTGACTGGGCCACTAAAGAAGGCGTATTTTCTTCTGTTTAGGCCATTCTGTTGTTGATTTACTTCTATGCTTTGAGTCATTGTCCTGTTGCAACACCCATCTTCTGTTGAGCTTCAGCTGGTAGACAGATGGCCTTAAGTTCTCCTGCAAAATGTCTTGATAAACTTGGAAATTAATTTTTCCTTCGATGATAGCAATCCGTCCAGGCGCTGACGCAGCAAAGCAGCCCCAAACCATGATGCTGGTGTGCTGTGCCTTTTTTTCGCCACACATAGTGTTGTGGGTTTCTTCCAAACAACTCAACTTTGGTTTCATCTGTCCACAGAATATTTTACCAGTACTGCTGTGGAACATCCAGGTGCTCTTGTGCAAACTGTAAACGTGCAGCAATGTTTTGTTTGGACAGCAGTGGCTTCCTCTGTGGTATCCTCCCATGAAATCCATTCTTGTTTAGTGTTTTACGTATTGTAGATTCCCTAACAGGGATGTTAGCATTTGCCAGTGACTTTTGTAAGTCTTTAGCCGACACTCTAGGATTCTTCTTCACCTCATTGAGCAATCTGCGCTGTGCTCTTGCAGTCATCTTTAAAGGACGGCCACTCCTAAGGAGAGTAGCAGCAGTGCTGAACTTTCTCCATTTATATACAATTTGTCTTACCGTGGACTGATGAACAGCAAGGCTTTTGGAGATACTTTTATAACCCTTTCCAGCTTTATGCAAGTCAACAATTCTTAATTGTAGGTCTTCTGAGAGCTCTTTTGTGCAAGGCATCATTCATATCAGGCAATGCTTCTTGTGAAAAGCAAACCCAGAACTTGTGTGTTTTTTTTTTTTTTTTAATAGGGCAGGGCAGCTGTAACCAACACCTCCAATCTTATCTCATTGATTGGACTCCAGTTGGCTGACATCTCACTCCAATTAGCTCTTGGAGATGTCATTAGTCTAGGGCAGGGGTTCTCAACGTTAGTCCTCAGGACCCCCTACCAGTCCAAGTTTAGGGATTACCTGGGTGTGTGTAAGGTGTTTAGAAAAAGAAAGAGTCTAAGGTGTTTTTTTCCCCTTTTTTCTAAACCCCTTAGACACACCCAGGTAATCCCCAAATCCTGGACTGCTAGGGGGTCCCGGGGACTGGGATGAGAACCCCTGGTCTAGGGGTTCACATACTTTTTCCACCTGCACTGTGAATGTTTACATGGTGTGTTCAATAAAAACATGGCAACATTTTGTTATTTGTGTGTTATTAGTTTAAGCAGACTGTGATTGTCTATTGTTGTGACTTAGATGATGATCAGATCACATTTTATGACCAATTTGTGCAGAAATCCATATCATTCCAAAGGTTTCACATACTTTTTCTTGCAACTGTAAGTTGGAATGCAAAAGTGCTGGCGGATGCATTCAACCTCTAACTTAATAGCATTCATTGTAAACCCCATCAGAGGGTTTTCTGTTGACTTAAAGTGACACTATAATCACTAGAACAACTACAACTTAATGTAGCTGTTCTGGTGAGTATAGTCGGTCGTTGCAGACAATTTGCTGTGAACACTGCCTTTTTTTTTTCTTTGAAAATGAAGTGTTTACATTGCTCCCTAGGAACACTAGAGATGCTTCCTGGGGCAGTGCTGCACAGATTGCAGCACTGACGTTCAGCGCCTCCAGATTCTGCATGGAGTCGCTTAACTTTCCTCTTAGAAATCTGTATGTGGAGATGCTCATTAGCCAGGGTGGTTGACTACACCCTTGGCAAGCCTCCTTGGCTGAGATCATCAGAATTGACAATCTCAGCCAATCCAATGCATTCCTATGGGAAAACATTGTGATTGGCTGAAATAAAGAATTCTGATTATGTCCGGCAAGGAGGCAGATCAAGGGCAGAGGCAGCACTGGCAGACCCCAGTGGCGTTGGTATTAAGTTAATTTTTTTTTTCTGGCTTGAAAGAGGGCAAAAGGGCTAAATAGTTTAACACTATAGGGTCATGAATACATGTTTGTTTTTCTGACCATATAGTGTTCCTTTAATATTTCAGTGGAAATTAATTTTTTTTTTTATCTGCACAGTCTATTTAGAGGAAATTGGCTGTAATTCAACATAGGTGTAGACTTGTTGATAGTTGTTGTTGCGTGTCACTTAGCAATGGCTTCCACAGAATTGGAACTGGGTATCATTACTGTGATCTGTAAATTTTAACCAAAAACAAAGTATTGTGTTCTACAGGAATACTAACAAACGAACTTCCCTATATCCTTCAGTCTGTGGGGGAGGGAATGCAAATTTTATTAAAAGCGCACAGTAAGTATTTTCAAAAATAAATATATGTACAAAACAAATAACAAGAACCTGGTAAATCAGTCGCAAAACTGTAAACAGTTAGATGCCACAAAGCTGAAATGTGTTGTGAATTGATGGAAATAATTTTTAGAAAATATAAATTATATACAGATTTTATGTGTAGGGGTTCATCTATAGATGCATAGAAACTCACTCTCACTGCAACTCAAAGTTCATGTCCAGAAATGTAGTGTCTTTTTTTTGGGGGGGGGGGGGCGCAGTGTTCCTTTTTAAATGGTAAACTGGCAGGTTGTTTTTTTTTCCTATAAACTTTGATCCTTTTACAGTCATAAAGGGCAGAAAATATCTACATAACTTCAAAATTCTCTTCTCACCTCCTTATGGTTCTACTAGGAAATAACCCTTACCATCTTTGCAAGTGGTCTGTTTAAGAAAAGTGTTGTGCATCTCTTCTACCACTTTATATACATTTTCTGGGTAGCACTGGACAGAGCAGACCTTACTGTACAGAGATTTTGTAACAGGTGACCATTCTTCAAGTATACTCCTTCCTATTGTTAAATAACATGCTTGGCTCACTATTTGCATCTTGCCGTTAGATGCTTGTTTTATGTGATTTTTGTACTTCAATCTGTACACCCTCCATATGATGCAAAGGGCTATTAATATATAATGTTTTCTAAGTAAGACATGTTATTTATTTTCTTCAACATTGTTATGCAGTAAGATAAGGGCTAATGGTGTTTATATAGAGTTTCATCTTGGAAAAGCTTTTTTTTTTTTTTTTTTTTTTTAAATACAGCGCAATCTGTTAATTGAATCCATTCGGCTGTTTCTGACAATCTTGTTCCACTTGCAGCATACTAGCTAACCTGTTACTGTACTTATTTACATAATTAACTTTTGTGATGTAAATAACTATCATAATGTAAAATAAACCAATGGTGTGAAGTTAGGCCCTTCCACAATCTGTTCAATTTGTTCTGAGAGTGTACATTTCCTACTGGATTCTACAAGTGTCTTGCTGTGAGATGAATTGTGTTGAATGTCTGCACTCAGAGGCTATTCAATAATTCAGTGATTTTAAAGGGTTTCTGCTGCTAGCATTATAACCTGTACAGTCCTCTGTAGTGGTTATAATGTGAGGAGTATCTTGGCCTCTGTTCGCAGTAATGGGGGAAACCATTTTACCTGGGTCTCTGCCAGGTGTCACGGGTCCACTATTGCTAGCCGTGCTCATCCAGGTTCTGCAGAAATGCCAATCCCACACCTATACATAAACACAATCACAGAGAGATAGATAGATAGATAGAGATAGATATATATATATATATATATTACACATACACACACACACACTTTTTTTCTGAAAAAAATAAATAAAAAAAATTGTTTACAAACAGCAGTAAGCAAAAAAACAAAACCTAACCCCCCCCCCCCCTTTACAAAACCCTGGCCCAGTCCACACTCTCCAAAAACCTCTGCCCACCCCCTCTCCAAGACCTTCCCACTCCCGCATCCTACAAATCCCCTGCACCCCTATTCACAAAAACTCCTGCCCCCCTTTACAAAGATCACTGTCCCCATACTAACACATTCATAAAAAGAAAAACCTGCTTCTTCTCAAGACCCTTAAAAAAAAAAAAACAACAACACTTGGCCTGTTCCTCCTCCTTGCTGATCCGGACTCCAGACTCTCTCGCCACCCGCACAGAGTGTCTGAGCGCTTCTGCTCATGAGTGCGGAGCATGTGCACCGCCTTGCGGGCCTCCGCATTCCTCCTCCTGCTGCCCCCTATGCCACTAAATCAGCTCCCTGACTCACACGGCCCGGCAGCGCGGAAGTCAACCGCGCCACACCACTGCAGTCCCGGGCCGTGGGTTGGACACCCATGCATTAGTCTAAGAACACCTCTAGTGGCCACTATTCAGAGTGCCACTAGAGTAGCTTCCTGGGGGCAATGCTGCTTAGATGTTCAGCATCTCTGCATGGAGATGCATGGATTCCATGAATCTCGAAGGAGATGGCATTGGTTTTGAATGAGATCATAAATTCTGATAATGTCAGGCAAGGGGGTGGGGAAATAAGGTATGTTTTTTTACCTTTTTAAGGTGGTTTCAACACTATAGTCAGAAATACACATTTATGTTCCTGATCCTATATTGTCCCTTTAATAGTGCTGGAAATTCCATTTAAAAATGCCAGTAACATTAGGATAGACTTCCTCCAGTGTGGCATATGCCCGGGCTATGCTATGATTAAACTGGATTGTTATGGAAATTCCTAAATCTTTTTTATACACATTAACGTTACCACTCTTAGGTCATTTTCAGTGCTTTAATTCCCAGAGTAATGTTTCTCCTTTAAATATGTATCTGTTGGAGTTCTACTGCGTCTCTGCATTCAATCTGTACACATTGTGTTCATCAAAGCCTTCCAAGCTCTAAACTATTTTGAATTCCAACAGAACAAGCTTGATTATGTCATTGGCGAGAAACGTGACCTAACATATGTATATATTACATTCAGAACATCTTGTCTTACAGGTTTAATTAGCTTCTGGGTACATTTCAAAATGTATGACTGATACTAAAGAAGATTGCTAAAGGGGAAACATTTCATTCATTTGTCACAATCTGCTACTTTATTAATAATGTTCAATATCTCCAGAATATATGCCAACAATCTCTTATAAATTACAATCCTAAAAACACGTTTGGGGTAGGTGCAGGGATTTTACCACAAGGCATTTGCCTAGGGTGGCACTTATGTGGGGGGAGGGGCAAATTTAGTCGTGCCTAGGGTAGCACAAATCTAAAATACACCACTGGTTAAGTGCTCTTAAGAAGCATTGATGCTATTTTAAATTGGCAATTTATTTTAACAATTTAAGTGCAGTTATGGTTTTATGCTCTGGTTAATTTTATTTCCATAAGGGTAGAAAGTAAAAGCCATATGGCACCTATTGAACAACTTCAGGAAGAACTTTACATGACACTGGTAGCTTTTGGCCTATGGGTCAATGGCAACAAAACAATCCATCACGTTGCATAGACTGCAAAACATGTTTCCCCTAGTGTATAGTTCTCTCATCATTACCCCATTACGTATATTGTTCATTTCACACTATTAAAGAGTTACCCCAGAAAAAAAAAAAAAACCACAAAAAAAACTGGATATAATTTAAGTTTATTTAATGACTTCTCAATCATCCCAATGTTCCTCTGCTGACTTATTGGTTGTCTGAAGGCAAGCACATACAGCATGCTGACATTAGTTTTGCACAGAACTGACATTAGCCAGGCCACAACTTTGTTGTGAGCGGACTCATGACACTGGCAGAGGTAGAGTTACACCTCTGGCAGCTAAGAAGTTAATCTCCATGTATGCAGTGTTTTTAAAGTGAAACACTGCCCATACAGAATCCAGGCACTCAGACCAATAAAGTGGTCATGGTACTTGGAGTTAGCCATTAATTTAGTAAATCAACTCCTCAAATCTGAGCAGCTCTAGCCCCAAGTTTCTACTGCTGCTCTTTCCCTTGTTATTTTCCAATGGTCTTTTCTTCGCTGCAGCTCACCTCCTCTGGCCTACATCATTCAACATAAGGTATGCATAGCCTCCCCCAGTGATGACTAGGGTGCTGAGGAAAGCCTTCATCAGCACACTACTGCTGGCCTCAAACGTTCCACTAGTAAGTGAAAACGTAGGGGTGACTAGAATTTCACCCCTGCTCAATATGCTATAGCTTACAGCGGTGAATAATTTTGTCTTGGCTAGTAGGAAGGTGAGTGACCTTTAAAATGTTTTACTGTATCTAATGTGTTATGCCATCTTTTGATCTGTAGAGGGGAAAAGAGCCATGGCTTCAGTTTTCTAAAAGCAACTTTTACTGAGGGGCAAATTCCCAGGTTTTACTATTAACAGTAGTGTCATGATTTTCTTAAAGACACAGAGGCTCCTATTATGCATAACTCTTTATCTCCCTCAGCAGCAAAGATTGAGAGGAATCAAATTGAGGACAAACTGCACAGCAACACATAACCAATCACAGTGTAGTGATAGTGTCTATATAAGGCAAGTGTATCCCAAGATCCCCCTCTTTCTTGCGACAACCGAAGACCATATAGTAACGAGAAATTTTTCAAACACTGTATCTAACAGGGACCCAGACATAACCGGTAACGTCAAGCTAAAAGGAAGAGGAAAAAATATGGAAATATCCAAACTTGAATTTCAAGATGTCAGTACTGTGAAATATATAAACAGATCATCATGAATACGTATCATAACTAAACCAAACACCCATGAACAAACCAAAAGCTCATGAATAGTACTCACCAAAAAAATAACGGAACATTAACTGTACCGACCAAGACGAGGCTGCACCCTTGGACCCGCGAACAAGGGAGGGAATTATACTCGCCTCAGTGTCTTTAATAAAATCACGACTTTGCGTCATTTGTTTAATAAAATTCTCAGATTTTACTCTTAACATGACGTAAAAAAAAGTCATGATTTTATTAAAGACACGGAGGCTCCCATTAGGCAAGTTTAAAGCTGAGCTAGCAACTGAGATGTAAAATGGGTAATTGGTCGGAAGTAGAAGTCACGGAAAGTAGATTCCCACGACCGATCTGGGGCTGTAGAATATCCTCCAGCTGACAACGAACAGCAGAAGCCTTAAGTGCCATGGCTCCACGCACCAACTGGGAAATAAAATTCGATCAATGCACGCTACGGACAACAGTCAAGTAATACAACGCGCCAACGTAGGAGTCGACACTGGTAGATGAGGAGCCCGGAAAGAAACGAACAACGGGTGCAGTTCAGGAGAATGAAGGGAGCGTGTGGTATCCATATAGGATTTCAAACAGTCCACATAGCACAAAGCTGGAACCTCCTGGAATCTACGATTAAAAAAAAAAAAAAAATTAAAAAAAAAAAATTATAGTCTTTGTGGCCGATTCATCCTTCTGGAGATAATGAAGGAAATATCTTCCGAAGTAAATGCAATAGCATGCCAATCCAGCATTCAGAAGTCTAAAACGCATACAAGAAAAACCATGCAGAAAATCAACAGCTTAGCACACAGATGTTAAAGGAACACTAAAGTCAACATGTAAAAGCAAGAAAGACAGGTCCCCTAGCCTTGATAGAGATATATAATATATATTTATTAACGTCCCCTCAACAACAACAAAAAAAAAAAAAAAAGTGGGTGTCTGTTATGAATGCTGAATGGTCCTGCCCCCAACCATAAAATCTGAGCAACTGGGCGTGCATTCTGGAAGCAAACAGATCCACATCCTAAACAGATCCAAAGATGGCTTAGTCGTACCACGCCACTACGTGAGCGAGTCACCAAACCAAAATCGTACAACAATCAACCTCGCCTCGTAAGAGTGCACAGACCTACAGACGTTGTAGTGCACGACTGTGTAGAGGCCCAGGCAAAATAGCTTGAAATGAAGCTACAAGTAAACCAAAAACCCTCGCTAATTGTCCAATTGACAGCTCCAATGCTTGGAGAGTCCACTTGATCCCCTTCGTTATGGTCCTCACTTTGGATTCTGGGAGAAACCAGAACTGATGGATGGCATCCACTGAGAAGCCCAAACATTCTGGACTGCGCAGAAGACCCCCATGGACTTCACCCACTTGAAGAGAAGTTCTGAAGTAATTAAGCGTTCATGTCAAGCAAACGTGAAGTTGTGTCTGAGACTGGAACCTGAGCAGGATGTCGTCCACATAATAATCTGAACACCTCATGTGGAGGAACACCACCACCGGCTTCATTACCAATGAGCAGAAGAGAGACTGAACGGTAGACCGCCTTCCTCGCCATCTAAAAACAGAGAAGGTCACTGCACTCCATAGCGGTGGGAATCGTGACATACAAGTCATGTAAATCCGGCTTGACCAACCATTCCAAGGGATGGAGAAGGTCACCCAGACAATGAATGCCCTTTTTGAA